CACGTTTGAGCATGCTATCCAACTTTACAGAAAGTGTTGCAGCAGTCAGCTCTAGCCTTGGGATTGTAATTCGTTTCAGGGGGGTTAGTCTTGACTTCGCAATAACAAATGAACACGAAACTTCACCATCTTTGTTTACAGATCGCAGGTACGTTGCCACTCCATATCCAATTTCGGAGGCATCACTGAAATGATGCAGCTGATTTTTGACTGAATTGCTGATTCCTGAATTTGAATAACATCTTTTCACTTCAATGCGCTCCAATTTTGTTAGATCTTGCAACCAATTTTGCCATTCCTCGAGATTGCGACCAGTTACTTGCTCGTCCCAGCCTACATTTTCCATGCATAAACGCTGAAGAATTGTCTTTGCTGTCAAGATGAATGGCGAAATAAACCCAAGTGGATCATAAACAGATGTAATAATACTTAACATTCCTCTTCTGGTTCTTGATTTATCTTTCATGCTGATATTAAATGTGAAAGCATCTGTTTCTACATTCCACTGCAACCCAAGAGCTCTTTCAGTCGGGAGCTTGTCAGCCTCGAGATGAACATTTTTTAGTTCCTTTGATCTTTCATTTTCTGGTATTGCATCTATGACCTCTCGACAGTTGCTCATCCATTTTGTCAGATGGAATCCTCCTCTCGCCAGCAAATCGGTGAGCTGTTTTTGCATTATGATTGCTTTATTTGCATCCTTTGTAGCTTTGAGAAGATCATCCACATAAAAGTTTCTTTGCACTGTCTGAATCACTTCATCGTTGTAAAATCTGGAGTTATCTTCAGCAACTCTTCGCAAGGCAAACGTCGCACAGCTTGGAGACCATACCCCTCCAAATATGTGTACCATCATCTGATATTCCACAGGTTCCATCTTCAAATTGCCTCGTGGATACCATAGAAATCTCAATGCACTAACGTCATCAGAAGTCACACGTACTTGATGAAACATTGCTTCAACGTCCGCCATGAGGGCAATGGGTTCACTTCTAAATCTGCATAAGACACCAATGAGTGAGTTTGTCAAGTCAGGACCTTGAAGAACATTTTCATTCAAAGAAACATTCTTGTACTTTGCAGCACAGTCGAACACAATTCTGACTTTGTCTGGTTTCTTCGCATGCTTCACGCTATGGTGTGGCAGGTACCATAATTTGCCGTTGCTCACTTCTATTTCTGCTTCTGGAACTTGTCTGGCGTAATCCTTTTCAAGTAAATCGTCAATGAAATTGCTATATCGCTGTTTTAGATCTGGATCTCTTTCCAGCCGACATCTCAAGTATTCCAGCCTTTTCTGTGCCATTGGTCGATTATTTGGTAGATTTGGAGGATTGTGCTTCCACGGAATTGCAATATGGTAATGGCCTTCGTGTAAACATACAGAATTCTCAAATACAGCAAGAGCTCTGGAATCTTCTACAGACATCATTTTCTTGTTATCAACAATTGACTCTTCAAACTCTTGATTGAAGTACTTCTTCAACTGATCATAAAGATGATTATCAGAGGAAACAGTATTGCAATGAAAGCAATGATTACCTTGTTTGGAAGAAACACCAATGGGTCCATTAAATGTCCAACCAAACATTGTCTTTACTGCATACGGACCACCATTTTCACTTTTTTGCACCTCTAGTGGCTGCAAAGCATTTGGTACATCCATGCCAATCAGCAAACTCACTACACCATCGTTAATAGTACCGGGTAACGTTATCCCTTCTAAGTGCGGCCATCTTTTGACATCTTCTTGACAAGCCAAAGCTGATGTTGGAATATTCAACATTTTTGTAGAAAATACATTAGGCATCTGAAGGTGCTTTGTTTCCTCAAGATCCATCACTTCCAAACTAACAACTGACGTCTGACAATATGTTTTTGAACCATTGATCGTAGCGACTGACAATTCACACTTTCTTCCAGTCACACCAAGTTTATCCAAGAGGGCTTCACTACAAAATGAGGCAGTAGATCCACTGTCAAGGAGTGCATATGTCTTAAATAATTTGTCACTTCCTGTCCCTTTTACCATTAATGGAACTATTGGTAATCCAATGTTGTCGCCTTCTTGATCGTTACATCGTGTTACTCCAACAAACTTATCATTGTCTGGACTCGAATCTCTTCTGCGAGCTTCGTTATCTGCATATTTTCCGCTTTCATCCTTACGCCGTTTCTCGTATGCCACCACAGAGTCATGTATTCCTGTCAAATGTTTGCGTCGTAGATTACATTCTGGCACTGTACAGGCTTTTCTTTGTTTGCAACCAGCGGAGAAGTGAAATGATGATAGACAATTATCACAGAGCTTCTTTGAACGAATGAAATTAAACTGTTCCTCACCAGATTTCTTCTTGAATTCCACGCAACTTGCCAATTTATGGTTTCTCTCACAGAAATAACATCGCACATCTGGTGAAGTGACATTTGGCTTCTTGTCATAAGTCTGAATACTGTAATTCAAGCTTCGCTGCGGATATGTCGCATTTGATCTTCTGTTCTTGTCATTTCTTGATGACTGTTCCCTGTTAACATTGTCCATAATAGCACCAAAAACGGGGTCGTTCTTTTCCTTTGATATTGTTCTGATCAAGCACCGTACATCTTCAACTGTAGGCTCTCTATGATACGATCTGATCTCCTGGACACGAGATTGCCAACGGGACTTCACAAAGTTTGGACATCGCTCTAGGACTTTCACCAATCGGTCTTCATTGTTTAGCTGTGTCAATCTGCCTGCAGCCTTCAGAGTCATCTCGCAGTTCTCGAGGTCATCTGCTAATTCTTGCAAGCCTTCTCTGTCACCAGGCTTTATCACAGGACCACAGGATACTTTCTTTAACCACGAGTCTGATACAGTATATGCATCACCAAAGCGTTCAGCCAAGATTTGTTTTGCCTTCAAGTATCCATCCCGAGGTTCGAGAAGAATACATCCTTCTATTGCTCTTCTTGCTTTGCCTGTACAAAACTGAACTAAAAGCTGCAACCGTTTGCTAAAATCACAAGTGTCATTCTCAACATTATTCTGAAAAGATCGTATGAAAAGAAAATACTTCAAGGGGTTGCCATCGAACAAACTGATTTCAGATTTTGGTAAAAGTGCAGCAACTGCTAATTTCTTCATTGTCTCAAGGTAATCTTCGCCATTTAATGTCGGGTTGGCACATGTTTCATCAGTAAAATCTTGTTGCAGGGGTGACTTCCAAGGTGGAGCATGTGGGTTCAACTGACGTTCTTGTTGGGGATAGCCAAATTCTGAAAATTGTTTAAATGTTTGCTCACCTATGATTCCTGTTTTTGTTGGCTTCCTTTGTACTTGTGAGCCGAATTCCAAATTTTGACTTTTTCTTAACTCGCCTCTAATTTGCTGACACGTGTTCTTAGATCCCACGTCTCTTGGTAATTGACCATACGCCTCGTCTTGTGATCCGGTTGCCATGGCGAAACCTGTGTAAACTTTTTCTTCAGCCTCGATTTTTGCAAGTTTCATGTCTAGCGCCAGCCTCTTCTTTCTTTGACTTAATCGTAGTTCTTCATGAGCAATGTTTTGACACTCTTCAAATGTTGACGCCTCTGCAAGCAAGGATGCCTTTGTTACAGCATTCTTCAACATCATATCCTGAAGGGTAGATCTGCTCGATTTCTTTGAGTTCTTAGAACACATTGAAGTGACGCAAGAATGAGAAATAATTTCGCTCACCGAGTCTTCGGGACTGATTTCAGCCTTCAGCATCTCTGTTGATGTAGAAAGGGGTTGTGTTAACAACGATACTCTTTCCTTGATATCATAATATCGTCTTTCAGCTTCGTGTGTGTACGCGAGGCATTCTTCAATATCATCTTCGTCAACCATTACAGCTTTGTATTCTTGACATGCCACTTTGAAATGATCGAAAGTTTCGTTGAGCCTGGCTTCGGCAACTCTCACATCGTCTACGGTTTGTTCAGTAGTCAAGCAATCAGCAACACGATTCAGAACTTTCGTAAGCTCTCGTTTTGCATTGGCTCTCATTTTCTTTAAATGTCGGACATGCTCAGTATCGATACTATCAGCACCACAAAACGCCATTATCTCTTGTTGTCAAATACGAACTGATGTAGCTTCAAAGCAAATCTGCTACTGAGGAGGGCACGAACCAATCAGAAATGAACCCAGTTTCCACTAAGCAAAAACAACGCTGGCGTTCTTTCTATCTTGATAATTGTTCGCTAAATGAAATAGTTGATAAAATTATACATAATTAATTAACGAGGTCTAAATGTAATGCAACTAAATGAAAATAACAACTTGAAAAAAAAGCAACATAAACGATTACAGGTTAACCAAATTAATTTGAACTTACTATTTATTTGACCTCGTAGCATAGCATTATCTAAGCAACAGTACTACTAATATCGCACGTACTAATATCGATGTTGTTCTCTCTTCTTACTGGGTAAAACACGCCCAAAGCTTATATAGGGCTATAATGCAAATCCTCGAAGACACGCTTATAACGAGAAGAAATGTCACGTGTCCCCGAGGACATGCCTAAACAATGCTAAAAGTTTCTAATAATAGCAGGGTCAAAAGTCCAAAATAGTTCTACTGAAAAAACAACAACAAGTAAATAAGATTAAAAACAATCTGTTTCCTACACCCCCTAAAGGTACTAATTCTATTGCAGATTCGCACTTTTCTCAGACATCGACTTTCTGAGTGGCCGCTCCCAGTTGGCGTGGGCCCTGGACCATCTGTCTAATGTTATTGGCCAAATTTGGCCGAATCTACCAACCCTGATAAGAAGATAAATAAATTAAAATCTTGGCGTTACTTTGTTACTACTGACCATCAAAAAATTATCTTTACCGAATGGAACCAAATTTACCGGAGAACACAGACAAATTGAGGGAGGGGTGTCGCACTCCCTACACCCGCACCCCCCGCTAAATCCATCCCTGGTGATTTGGATCGCTTTAAAGAAAAGGCAGTCATTTTCATTCAAGATGATAAGGCTAGGGTCAAAACTATACTTTTCGTTGGCCTTTTTAATTGTCAATAAGATGTATCCAATTTTAAGCCTAATTTAAATAAAAAGACATAAACAGAAAATCTGAAAATTTAAAAAGAAAAATAGTAAAAATCCGAAACGGAATTATCGCCCGATTTCTTTGGGAAAATTCTTTAGAAAATGATATATGATACTTTTTACAAACATAAAGCAGCTAACGAGTTGGTAAACTTGAACCAATCGGGGTTTCGACATATTATTGGCGCTCGTTACTTAACCCTGATCCAACGAGACAAGTAGTTGAAGCGACTTTTTCAAGAAAAAAGGCTTAGGTCAGTTACCTTAAGCTTAGGCCAGTTAAGCTTAGGCGATGTCATTTGCCATATTCCCCCAAAAATGGGAATCCAGTCAAGATACCTCGCTGAATTATCGTATGAATTGCCTGAATCCGTTCAAAATTCTGCTGCACTTGCAGCGTCTGATGCATGGAAAGGAGCATCTGGCGAAGAACTCTACGAGGATTTTGGTTGGGAATCCTACGATGTTGGAGCAGGCGTCTTGTCTTTTTTATGAAATTGTAAACGATATTACTCCGGATTACATGGTTTCGTTCATGTAGCATAGTATAGTATAGAAATTTGTTAGGTAATGTAAGAAATGTAAGGTTTGTATTGTAATCAATTATAAGAATAAATAAAAATATACATTAATGTTGATGATGGTGATGGCTTTCAACCATCTTGTGAAATATGCTTCCGCTATAGAATTTTGGCATTAGCACGTAAGCATTGGGAGTACAAAAAACACTTGGCCTTTACAACGGTCATCAAAGCCAAGCAATCTTTTTATTCTTTGAAAAACATGGTATCGATCTTTCTTGATAAGATTTTTTTGGCTCCAAAGTTAAGGGTTTAAAGCAAATAATTGACATAGTTGTATCTACAGATTATGTTTCCTATGAAAAGTGAATTGGCTCTTCTGGAAAGGGTACTTTAAACGGCTGCCTGTATTTAGCTATTTGCTCTTCCATTGGCGTGGCAATGATGCAATCTTGATACGCGAACATGCATAGTATTTAAGTGTGTTGCTTATTTTAAAGCAAAGGACTTTGTGTGTTGACAAATAAAGAAGTATGGTTGCAAGAGCTCTTATAAATCTTCGATCTATTGTCAAATTTTGAATCATTTTCAAGTGCCTCAGAACGTATAAATGCAGCGCTTTTAAAAGATCTGCACTTACTAATTAACTGAGTAGCTTGCTGGTTGTGTAGTGGTAAGTGAAGGCATGACTGTATACAGGAAATTAGTAGTTAAAATATAAATATTCTAGGTGTAATTCTTTTTACTATTGAATATTCAACTTATTGTGAATTGTAGCGGTTCTTTGCAAATTATAGGAAAATGTGTTGATTTGAGCTTTAAGTTTCTTTACAATGAATTATTGTTTTAAGATAAAAATTGAACTCAGTTTGAAGTTTGCATTCCTCTTTCAGGTACATTTCACAATGAGGACTTTCATCTTTCTTTCAGTGTTGGTGTGCATATGCAGTGCAGGTAAAAGTTTCAACTTTCAATAAACATTGTCTTTTAGATTTCTTAGAGGATATTTTAAGAAACAAAATTACTTTTTTTTAAATGATAAGGATGCAAACTGATTTTAAAATAGAAAATAGATGCATCGAAGAAAGCTTTTCTATCGACAGTAACTGATGTTGAAAGTGCCTGACTTGCATCAAGAAATTGCTTTTCCTGAAAAGCTTGTCTCTATTAAAAAGCAATCAGAGGCACCAGAGAGTTTCTAAATTTTAGCCAATTCTTTCCTAAGCTTAATGCTATCTTGACTTTTCTATTTTTTTAGTTTTGTCTTTAATTTGGTTAATTTGGTCATTGATCTTCAAAACTGGAGAACTAAAAAAGCTTAGCTATTCAGGCTCTTGCATCTTCATCGGTTATACCTGGAATTTTCAAACAATTTCTAAGCGAAATGTCAATTTGAATTCTCAATTCAAGCTGCGAGAGATAAAAATGCAAAAAAAAAAAAACCTTCACTTGATGCAAAAATTGTGCTCTATGGTGGTTGTTGCAGTCCGGACAAAAGTTAGGTGTTATAGATAACTAATAGATAGCTATATGATGTAACTTTTATTTTGCTTTTAGAACCCTTCGAAGGAGACATTATCTTAGACCCACACACAAGCGACATTGTCAACGGTAATTCCGCATATGACGCAATCAAGTCTGAAACACAAAAATGGACCAATGGAGTTGTCCCTTACATATTCGACTCAAGTTTCGGTATGTTCAGATATTTTTGTTAGCTTAGTTGAAATCTTGTTAATCCACGATTAAACGAATTCTTTAGAAAATACCCTGTTTCTAAAAAAAAGTATTTGCCTGCCTTTCACAAATGCAGATTCAAGTTTTCTTGTTGTTAATCTGCTAAAACGCTTGGTATTTTTTCGTTCCCTCATTTGCTTATCAATTGCCAAGTATATATTAGCGGAAAAGAAACGTTAAATATTTTCATATTTATAGTAGAGAATGATGCATTAAGGTAAGCCTAGTTGTTGAATGTTTGATATTATAGGTTTGCCAGGACCTTATTTACATCTTTTTGTTGCCTTCCCCACATTATGAACTTTCATTATTACTTAAGAGCTATGTCAAAATACCGTTTTAAGTCTATTACAAAGTGTATGTTTTATTTGATAGGAAGTAATTATTACAAGAAATAGTTGAGAATACCAGTAACGTTGATAGGAGCTGAGTAAGGACTGTTCCAGAGTAGTTTACGTTTATGTATAATCCGCTATAGATGACTAGAGTCTGTTCTCTATCGCCGTTATAAAAAAAGGACATGATCTTACTTTCCTCAACTTCCTCTTCTAGCTTTAGATATGTAAGCAACCAATTTTACATATTTTAATGAATGCTTACAGTATGGACAGACATATTCATATAAATAATGTACTTTAGGATGAACCATCAAAGGACTGTGTGGTTTTAATTTGCTCCTGATACAGTATAGCTATTTATTCAGTGTAGCTATCGATAAACTATAGGTACAATATGCGAAATGCTTTTTTATAGAAACCAGTCGCAGGGATGTTGTCAGGCAGGCAGTAGCTGACTTCAATAGATACACGTGTATTCGATGGGTGCCGAGAACCAGCCAGAAAAACTACATCAAGTTCATTGTTGGCGGAGGGTAAGAACCTTTCTGCTTTCCGTTTATTAACTTATGCTACATTTTAGCTGCTCTTGTAGTCAAAATGAACATATTGTTTTTGGATCGTTTTCGTCCTAAACAAAAAAGTCTTGTTCTGCCCTCTTTCATTTTTTATACTGCTTTATATGACTCGTTGGACATCCAGAGTTGATGTATAGGAAACCATCCCATCTCATTCCAAAACTGACATGTTTCTGTGGGCTCAGTAAAAAGGAAAGTTGTCCGTGAATAGACAAAATCTTTTATCATGGGCCACATTTTACAGTTACCGATGGTTTTACAAGCCTTTTATGTCAAAATCAATTCAGAAAATTGAAAGGATACAGGAACGCGCGCTAAGATTTTTGTACAATGATCATCTGTACAATGATTCTATGATGATCCTCTTACTAGGTCAAAAAAGTGTACAATGCAAGTTGCTCGTCAAAGAACCCTATGTATCGAAATATTCAAGACAGTTAGAAATTTGAATCCACCGTTCATGCATAGCATTTTTAGTTCAAGAACTTTAAAACACCCTTCTCGCAATCGTAACAACTTAAATCATTTTCGACCAAACCAAGTAACTTTCGGTTCCAATAGCCCTAAGGCCATAGGACCTCAGATCTGGAACTGTCTGCCAAATAAACTAAAATCAGCTGACAATCTTAACAGCTTCAAATGTATGATAAAACGATGGGATGGTCCTAGCTGCAAATGCAACGTTTGCAAATTTAATGATATCGATATCCTGTAAATTTTGTCTATTCATATCAAAGTTGCTTCAAATATTTAGCTTATGTATGTACGTATTTTTTTCCTTAGTTATTTCCTCTTCATTTGTTATACAGTAGATTCAATTTAGATTAGTTGTATATATGTATATATCCATATATGTATGTGTATTGCTAGAAGCAATATCGTATTAAAAAAAAGGTTACAAACAAAACAAACAAGCCTAAGATGTTCTCATTGACCATCAAATATGCTCTACTTCCCTTCTGTGCACAGATGCTATTCGTACATCGGCATGTCTGGTGGTGAGCAAGTGGTGTCAATAGGCCAGGGATGTGAAATCAAAGGCATTGTGATTCACGAAATGATGCATGCAATGGGTTTCTGGCATGAGCAGTCCAGACTGGATCGCGACCAATATATTAGGATTTTCTGGGATAACATCTCTAGCGGCAGAGGTATCTATTACAATTGAGAATTACTATACAATTAATATATTGCATAGTCAAAAATTATCAAGAATCGTCAAGGGGGTCCTTTAACTTAAAGTTTTATCCAGAAATTGATAGAAATTAAAAGCCATACAACCTTCATGTCCACCCGTCGCAAGCATAAATCTCTTTATCGTATGCTTGTTTTCTTTTTACCAGTTGAATGCATTGTTGTAGTTTCTAACTTCATTTTATGGGCACAGGGCAGACACAGTGTTTTTTCAGTTCACTGAATTGCCTAAAAAGAATAAATGAATCAAACTCTGTATGAAGAATAAGGAAGATTTTCAAGGCAGTCAATTGGAAACTTGTCTTTAACCTGTCTTTGAATTTGTCCTTACAGGGTAGTTACAGTCCCTTGATCCTTGTGGTATCGTTTAAGTAGTGTAGTAAAAGGGTTTTTCAAAGGAAAAATTAGTAATTTTTCAATAAAACGTTTTATGAAATTGTATAAAAAATCACTAACATGAAAATTGCGAAAATATTAAAATGCTTACAAAATTCTTAAGATTTTTTCATTTTTATAACAAGCTTACAAACACTTTTTGCTTAACTGCCTAATGAAAAACCGATATAACGGGACATCTTATCTTTGATTATTAATAGTTAACAACATTTCATAAAAATGGGCAGTATTGTGACATTTTTCACCAATCAATTTTCAACCAGCCAACTACAACTTCAAGAAGTACACTCATGGTCAAGCTGATTACTATGGTGAAGGATACGACTTTGATAGCGTGATGCATTATGGGAACTGGGCTTTCAGTATCAACAACAAGATGACAATCGAGGCAATTCAAGATCGCAGCAGAATGCTGGGTCAGAGAGACGGGTTCAGTCAAACAGACGTTAGGCAGTTAAACAAGGTGTACAAGTGCACTGGCTACGAAAACGTTCAAGTCCCTCCTCCTAAAGGTAAACTGAACCTCTTGTTGACCGCAAAAGCCTATTTTAATTGAACTAACCGCATTCAGCCTTATGGCACAAGTTACTAGCAAAGCTGAAAATATTGATTGCATTTCCATCAGTTTGGCAAGCAAACTTTGTTCTCATTTTGATGATTATTTTATTTAAATGTGTAATTAGAAATTTCAACTGTTACACAACAGACTAATAGATTGAAACAAACAAACTTTTTGACTGATTTATTTTCTTTGAAGAAAAACTGCAGCTGTAATACTACTTCAACATTTCCAGTGATTCATACGACCCAAATATCATTTAGACATAGATAAAAAGATTGTAAAGAGGATGGCAATGAATCTTTTTGCATTACTTAAGATTCAAAAAACTTTTTTTTCCCAAGGTTGCATTAATCGATATGATAGATGTGCAGAATGGGCCAAAGCTGGTCAATGCCAAACAAATGAGCGATTCATGCTGCCATACTGCTGTCTTGCCTGCAAAAATGGAGGTATGTTACTCACTAACTCTATTGTTATTGCTGTTGAAAAAACCTGAATGTAAATGCTAAATACTGACGAATCTGATAAGAAAAGGAGCCCTGGAGAGACTTCACCGTGCACCAGACACACATGAAAAATGGAAAAACTGTTGCTTAAAATTGAAAATACCAAGCAACAAGTAAATTAGCAGCTTGAATCAGTGGTGCTTACCTTATCTGATTATTTGCCATCATTGCTCATTTGCGTTTTTCAAGCTGGAAGTGAAACAGCAATGTCACTGTTCTTCCCGACTCGATCCCTCTTTACATAAAATAGTTTACATAAAAGACTTCCTAAGACCTTGATGTTGCTTGAAAACTCCTTCATAACTTTACTCGAGAATTGCTGATATCTTATATTTACGACACAGGCGGTGGCTCAAATTGCTACGACAGTAACAGCAACTGCAAGGCATGGGCTGATGGAGGACACTGTCGTATCAACCCAGGTTACATGTTGAAGAACTGCAAAAAGAGCTGCAATGTCTGCTGAGTCAAATTAGGCCCTTATTATGGAAATGTCTAATTAGAAATTGTCAATTTTTGAGTTTCGAAGAACTAAGAGCTCTATTATTTGTATTTCTTTTGAAAAACTGATATGACGGTTCAACAAACAGAGCCGACAAAAGGAGAACAAAGCTAGTATCATATAAATAGGGTTCGGTCCAGAGCTGAAAATTCTCAACAATTTTATGGGAGAAAAGGCTCGCAAAATGCAATTTTCGCACAAATACTTCGTTTGCATAACACTCAAATTGGCAAACGGAATACATTCTATGATGAAAACAGTATTGCTCTACTTTTGGATAGCAAAACCCGCGACCCTTTAATTTTTTAAAGCAAAAAAGGAAATATACTTCAGTTTTATCAAGAACCTGAAAAGCTTTCTAGTGTTGCTTTCAACCGAAATAAACATTTTTCCAAATTAAAATGGGAAGCAGCAATCATAAGGGCAGACTTCCAAGGGGGGGGGGGGGCTCAAAAATTAATTGCCATTGGCAAAGGAGACTGCCAACGGCGGAGGGTAGAAAGAGGTCATCATCGTCTTGATTAAATCTCTTGACATGATTTCCATTAGTGAAACCAAGAATATCAAAATTAATGTAACAAATCGATAGCAAACTTTCTTATTTCCCAGGGTAAGGCTGGGTCTCCTAAATATTCTTCAGGAGGGGCTCAAGCCCTGCAGCCCCCTAAGTCTGCGCCTATGGTAGCAATGCATTCTTTACGAAACGCTAAGACGTTAAAGCATGATGTCATATCTTTGATTCAAACACTGGAGGGCACATCCATATAGATCTAGAGTGTGCTCGAAATTCAGATAATAAAAATGGTGGCTATCTAACAGAGCAATGCTTTATTTGGGCTTGTAGTTTCTTTGGTGCAATGTGGAAAGTGGTCAGCTCAAAATCAAAAATATAAAACTCTCTCTAGAAATTACTTGTGAACTAATAGCTCCTCAAGTAATGTGTAACGTGTAAGTAAACTCTCCGCAACTTGCGATATGGATCAAAAAGTCAGTTGAAACGCTACGTACCAAATAGAGGAGAAATATTTCGTGTTTATTCGATGCAGCAAACAAGCTAAAAGGAAGAGCCTAGAGCAGGAGAAGCATGAAATGGGTAAAGCTTCGAAAAGCGTGCTATGATTGAAAAGCACATCGTAAAGTTTGCAAAAAGTATATCCCTTGTCAGTCACAATAGCAACAAAAATTATTTGTTTCTAATATTCGACTGCTTCTCCTGAAAGGACTACTTCTAAAACTCGACTACTGGATTACAGGGAACTTTGCAATCAAAAATGTAGAAAAATCCACGTTCAAATTCTGTTTTAGTATTAAGAGATAGAAACAGAAAAACAGTTTGAGTTCATTGTGGGAATAAAAATTACGGTTAAAATACACCCTTATATCAACGAAATTAATATTTTTCTATTGCTTACTAGGACAAATATTGATAATAAGCAAGCCTTAAATCTATCTTCATTAAATCTAATGCGATCTCTACTTAAAACGTGCAGGCCTACATTATCTAGAATTGCTACGTCTATCAAGTAAGAATGCTGCGTCTTGCTTGATACCAGATCGGTGTTCGAACAGGCTTAAGTCTTTAGGAAAAGTTTGGATTGAGTTTGAAGCAGTTGCTTTTATCAACAGGTAAACAAACAACATGAAGTGAAATCATTAAGCTACGGAATTCCTTACTATTGCTGGCTGCTTAGTCCATCAATCCGGCTTCTGTTTTTACTGATTAAAAAGGCTTTCTAATTTTTTAAACACTACTTCCCTAAAATATCTTATCACCTCTACAATGCTAAAGCTCTTACTAGTTCCTCTTTTCAAATGCTAGTAAGCACTGCAATATAAAATGATAAAAAGAGCTTGTTTCTGCCCAATTAACATCGATACGATGTTTACAACCTGATTTTAGATTCACCGTTGGTAGAATTGAATTGATAGCATGCATCGTGCGTTTACAATTTGTTTCATTTATCTTTATATTAAAAATGAGTTGTAAGTATTTAGATACATTTTATTTGTTTGCTAAAAGCTATTCTACGAGCTGATCTGAAATTTAGTATATTACAAAAGCTAGTTAAAATCTTTCATACTAACGAACAAACCATGGTACGGTGACTCTCAACAACATCCCCATCCTCTTCTTCTCTGAAAGGTTGCGACAATAATGATACTTAATACTACACTCAAATTATGAATTAGCGATAAAAGAAGATGAGATTTCAACATCATCCACCATTCGTTTCCATTAACCTGCATTTTTGTCTCTTAAAGCCATGGAAACACTGATATAATGTTCATAATTGCTAGTTCCTTTTGTCCCTAGGACGATTTCAAAATGGCCACCACTTCCACCATCTGTTACCAGCACCCCCTTTGCGGTCTCTTTTAACCCGTTTTTCTTTCGCGGATCTTTTCATCCTTTTGTCTGGCGAAGACACTGGAGGCGGTATAAGGGTCTGCTGTTGCTGCTGTTGGAGGGTGTTGAAGCAAATTTCTGGTTGCAAGCGAAGATGATCCGAAGGCATGCACTCCGAACATGATCCTCCACAATGAGCCGTCACCACAGTATTTTCTGGTGATATTGTAAATTGTGTTATCCTGAAATCATCCTCAGGCATTCCTGTAGCCTTCCACTTTGGTGCTCCATCTAGCTTAAGATTGGTGCCATCTAAGTTGATTTTGAACTGTCCCTTGCGACAGTCCTCCGTACTCTTTGAATAGCAATCGCCAGCACGACCATACTCCATCTGCCTCCCTTCCGATGTAGCGAACGTAAAATCCTTAGTGTCTATCTGCATAGAGTTTCGTAAAACTCTAACTTTCTTGAACCTAAGCAAGAAAAATAGTAAATTAATAAAAGGAAAACTGTTATTTTAACATTGTGAATTACGAAGTAGAATAACTGTCTTTTCGGTGTATGGGGACTTGGGAGGCAGAATTTGACTTTGTGATGGCCAGCATTATTCAAAAACGCATTGCCAGACTCAGTACATAAAAAGGGGACAACTCCTTGAATTTCCAACAATATTGATTTTTCCAGTCATTTATTTATGTACTCCCCACAGCTTGACAATGCAGCATAACATTGTATGGTGATTTGCTGCATCTTGTAAGATACACGCGCCCTGTTTGTAAGTTAAACCCGAAATGACTTTCTTTAAGATATGTGATTCATATCTTGAAACCCACTACGATTTCGCGCTCTAGTCGTGTATTTATTGGCGACAAAAACATGTAACAATACAAACTTTTGTAACTGAACGAAGGTATCCTTACCAGGTTTGGCCCCAATACGCAGTTGTTTCCATAGGTTTGGCGATTTCTGGGCCACTGCAGGTAGCATAGTTCTGCAGCCTTGGCCGATAATACATTGCAAAGTTCTCATTAGCTCCAGATGGTAAGGTGACATACTCTAAAGCTCTCGTTAATGAATCAGTTAACTTCATGTTGCGACAGTAAATGCTCACAGCATCGCAGGACGGGCTCATTCGAATCATATAGTCGTCATCAGGAAGGTTATCGAACTGATCAGCAATTTCAGAGCAGTTTCCTGGAAGAAAACCAGCTTTGGTCAGAGATAAAACAGTGAACACTGATACCTTGTTTGTTCACATCCTGGACATCCTGGCATTCGGTAGCCAGGCATTCGTCTTACTAATTCTTTAATTTTACAGTAAACATTATATGATTTAAAACTATAACATATGCATGACTGAACTCAAGAAACGCTGATTTCATGTTGAATAATCCCATTTAAAAATAGGCTTTGCAGAGAAAATGCAACGCAACAATAAAATGCTTCTCTATTGGGCAACTTACGGGGCAGTCTGGACTGCAAGTACGAGTCTTGAATTGGTTTAGAGGTGCACAACTCTGCTCCACCCGGGCAGTTCATCGTGAAATTGAAGTTCAGTGAGTTCATCTCATCACTTGATAACTGAAGCACTTCGTAGTAATAAAATGCTCCAGCTTGCATGTTAACCGACACATTGGCATTGCGGATACTAAAGGTATGTAACAAGCATTTATTAGCATTAAATCAGCCGTAAAAAGATATCTTTTGTGTCAGTAATTAACTTTGTTGTCAAAGATTAACTTCTTCAATCTGTAAATTTTTATGGTGAATTTTACAGCTAGAAACAGCCCTATTTGCTGGTTGTAAATTCTTACTGTATGCTTCTGTGTGTTCTCTTTTAATCGTTAGCTCCGCTATTAATTATTGCATACATAGAAGCCTAAGACAAATTTCTTGAAGCAGATGCATTGCAAATGCAACAAAGTAACATTTAATTTCCTCAGGATCTGTTCGCCAAGTCCTTTAAGAAACGAAAACGTAGACTGCGACTGGGAGCAAGCTACAACTGAAGCGAGTTGAGAAAGCTTCGTACAAGAAGGATTGTATAAAATGCTTCCAAAGCTAAATTGGGATCAATCTACTCACAAGGTAAAACCAGCAGTTTTTACGAAACACTACAGAATGCCAAACCAGCGGAGCAATAGAAAGAAGTAGGTTGTATTTGGGTTTCTTTTCAAAGAGGCGCATGCGTATAGCCCGTCAATCAAAGGAGGAATTCAACGCTTGTACTCATGCATCATAGATAACGAATACAAACTCAACACTGCATCGCAATTGAACCATGTCTTGAAAATCTTACTTGGGTACAACCCTAAATAGGCGAGTTATTTTAACCCCGGGTGCAAGTGGGTGGGTTGTTTTTAACTGCAGAGAAATTTATCTTGGTTGGTTCAACCTTTATTGAGCACTTACTAGGGTAGTATAAACAGTGTTTTAACCAAGATGGAAACTAATGATTAAATTTAAAACACCTACGTGGCTGTATCTCCGTTAAAGGAGGTCTGTCTTTCGATGCCTGTTTCTATGGACTTCTTTTCAACCGAAAATGATAGCATGGCTTGGAAGTGGCCTTCGATCACGAAATTGTACAGCCCAGTCAAAGGAGGCACAAAGTACCCAGAAATCACTGCAGCAAAAGCTCCGTTATAGATACTAGCATTAAATTTCTCCTTTATTTCTTTGAAAGGTGGAGCAGTGGCATGTTTAATTGTGAAAGCAGCCACTGGAGACACCTGCTTCACTTCGTTCTGGAGAGAGGCTAAGTCGGTACTCTTCACATTGCCATACACTTTGTAATTTGCACCAGTAAATGCACCACTGAATGGAGCTGTAGAGGAAGAAGGCAAAAAGTGAGTGGAATAGTTATTCATCTTTGACATGATATTAGTCATATTTGACAGCTTTATAATAAGAACGTAATGCCATGCAATCAAGTACTTTTCCTTTTCAGCACTTTATCATTCATGAACTTTTCAATAATGCTCCGTGTCATTCAACTACTATTCTCATATCCCCAGGCTTCTAATGACTGAAACTCTAATTTTCTTGAACTGTAAGACAAAGATTAAAAAAGAAAAACTAAGAAAAATCTCACCGTATTCGCCACAACGTTTTTGAATCGCAACGATATCAATATCAGATAATACACAGGGGAACAAGTAGACTTCATCGATCAGACCCAAAAACTGAGCAGTGGGATTCAGCTCATCATCAAAGCCAATGGCAACCAAACCGGCCCAATCCATGGAGAAGAACTTAGGCCCATCGGTCTTCACCTCTTCAAACTCGTTGTCCTTCAATGCGACCCCGTTTATGTAAACAGTATGCTAGAAGAGAACGGGTGAGTGAATATGTTGTAGATATTTGAAGTTAATAAAAAGGAAAAATGTCAGTATCAGGGTAATAATAAGTTTAGATAATTATTTATTTCAGGCCTTACTTGTTTGGCATTTGAAGGTATTTTCAGTTTCCAAAAAAGCATGATAATAACTGAATGAGCTATATATGGCTGAAAATTTTATACATTACAAAATTGATTGGCAGTTTTTTTAGTAGATTTCAAAATGAATATTCTTTGACTAAATGACATGATACTCTACCTTCTTTGTCGCAATATCGACAGTAAATGCAACGTGAAACCAAGTAAAGAAGGTGATCTTGTTTGCAACAGTTGTAAAAGAGAAAACAGTTTGATTTCCATTGGTGATCATGGCATGTACTCTCTGCTTTTTAATAATTTGGAACGATATTTGAGCTGAAAACGAAACAGAATGCGTAAATTTCATAAAGACGATAATATTTATTTTCGCAATGATGTAGTGCATATAATGTAACGCAATAACATGATTATAACGATATATTCTGAAAAATCAAATATTCTTAAAAACATGCATATTCACAGACAGAGTCACAGAGTCAGTGCTTCAGTCGATAAAATCTGTAAGTCCCTTGTTTCCTATAACTGATGTTTTGTTAAGGCTAAACACTTACATATTGCAATCACTGTATTCATTGAGACAGCTTTCCTATATAACAATCCGTCCTGCCTTTCTAAAAAACATTAAATCTCTTCACCCCGACACGCCGGCAGGATGGCAAATCCTAACTTTGGTTTTTAGTCAGTATTTTATAATTCAAAATAAATACGTACCTCTTTGCTTTGAGTCTTTGGCGATAAATATCTGTTGGACAGCACCCTCGTCTGACAAAGAGTAAGAATTAACCCAGGCAGCTATGGTAACTGCTGACGATGGTTTGCTTCTAAAATTAGGACCATCAAGTTTTACTCCTCCACGCTCCAACATTTGTATATTATTCTGGCACTTTCTTTGATCTATGGAACGAAAAAACCGCTGATGAAAATGAAAGATTACTCCTTAAATTAGTAAACAAAATTCTACAACTACAATTAACAATCAACGAAGAAAAATAGCCCGTCAGATTACCTTGGGATATTTTCGGAGTTGAAACGATCTGTCCATTGTTGCCTATACCGGATTCATCGTAAACAGTTTTGTCACAAATCTTATCAAATGTATACAGAAGCGATGGTTGGCAGCTGTAGCCAGTGTAGACTAAAAAAAAGCAAGTTGAGCTCATCACAATACTAAACAGGGAAGCTGTTCATGGTAAAACGCTGGTTAAAGTGACCGATATGTCATTAGTATCTGGCATTAATCATCAAAATCAGAATTTGTAGATATCATAAAAGATAAACCCATATATGTAGCTGAATGTTCGTACTAAGCGTGAAGATCAGAGATGCAGATTAGAACTTTCCTGTTGTATACACAATATCCTGTTGTTGATATAAACAACATTGGTTTGTCGAAAAAAAATTGAATCAAGTATAAAATAAATAGAACGTCATTTAGTATCTCCATTCTTATTCTCAAATTGAGAAAATTGTATCACAAAGTTTTTCATAGTGAAGATTACAAGCTATTACAAGATCAAGTTAAAAAGAAAGATGTTTACCTCTCTTTGGTCTTGGACGATCAACGACTGGAATAGAAAAATATGAGGATTGGAAACATTCATTGATAGAATTTTTAATGATAGTGCCCACTAAGCCTTGAAACTACCGACTCGGATGAAAGTAAAGATGGGCATTTGAAACGTTTGAAACAGTTTTTGGTACAGGAAAATTAGAAGATAATTAAATAAGCTTTTGGTACAGAAAAATTAGAAGATAATTAAATAAGCTTCTGGTACAGAAAAATTAGAAGATAATTAAATAAGCTTTTTGTACAGCAAAATTAGAAGATAATTAAATAAAATTTTTGGTACAGCAAAATTAGAAGATAATTAAATAAGCTTTTGGTACAGAAAAATTAGAAGATAATTAAATAAGCTTTTGGTACAGCAAAATTAGAAGATAATTAAATAAAATTTTTGGTACAGCAAAATTAGAAGATAATTAAATAAGCTTTTGGTACAGCAAAATTAGAAGATAATTAAATAAATTTTTTGGTACAGCAAAATTAGAAGATAGCACCGAAAAACGGAAGTAAAGCATATTAAAGAACTTTTTTCGAACACTCCTCAAAGTATAAGCGTCGGATAACGTCTAAAGGTAGGTAGAAATTTATATCCAGGTGCGAAATCGAAGTAACGAGAGAGGGAAAATGATGCAAGTTGTCTTAGCATCTTCCACAATATTTTTGACTTTTCAGGCGGTCTTGTGGCTCAAATATTCAGTGGGTTGTTCTCATGGCAAAGATTTGATAAAATTTCGAAGCAGATATAATAAATGGAAAACAGTAAACGTAGAAAATAATTTAAAGCATACCCTGGCATATTTCCTTCGCAAGAGAGTCAACATATGTTACAAGTTTCTGGAGATCGCCAATCAAAACTGGTCCGGTGTCCTTGAACGTGGAGATTGTTTTCAATTCTTGGATATCAATATCCTTGCCAAGGCCAACAGATATGACATGAATTCCCTGTTCTCGCAATGGCTCTGATGCAGCCTCTAGAGGTTCCGAGCCCGGATCAGACTTGCCATCGGTCAGTACAACAACGAGGTCTGGAACGCCTGGCCGGTCTCCTTTGTCAGAGAACACGTTTTCAGAGGTGAATCGCAAGGCGAGGTCAATGCGGGTACCTAAAAACAAAGGTAAATGTATTATTCAAAAGACGCTTTCTAAATATTGAGCTGTGACAATGAGCTGTACGGTATCGACTCGAAAATTGTACGTATTTGATCAAAGCGGTCATCAGGTTTTCTGATGTGCAAAGAACAATATCAAGTAAATCATTCAAGAAAATCATTGAATAAATCATAGAAAACATACCTCCCCCAATCTGATCGAGATGCTCAATATCAAACTTGAGGATTTCCTTCGTCATTCTCGAATCGAAGCCGAAAACCTTTCTTGGGGTATCCGAGTAAGTAACAACAGACACGAGCACGCCATCTTTTCCAATTGAAAAGGCATCTATAACATTCTTAATGAATTCTTTGAGGTCTTTCCAGTGGTCTGTGATGCTGCTCGAACTATCAATCACAAATGCTACGTCGATGACCGAGTTACACTTGAAAGGGCCTGGGGCTAACAAATATTGTGATGCAGTTAATATCATGGAAGTCAATAGCTATTAACAAAACTGCAACAAATACAATTCAGGCAACTCTGAATTTTTGTACACTGCAGGATATTAATTTCGATTTTAAAATATAAATGGTGAATATAGCTCTTTTATAGGGGCGTAAACCAGTATTTTGCAATGTATTCAAGATATTTTACCTGAATTTCTCTAATATGATAGTTTGCCTGATATTCTATAGAAATAAACCCATGCATTGATGGAATCGGCTTTCTAATAGAGGAGAATTAGCGGAAGAAATGAAATAAAAAAACCCCAGTTGATGTTGCTTGTGAATTCCTGAAGTCAGTAGAGGCATGTAATTATTCTAAGGTCGAAAGTGGAACTTTGGCAAATGATTGACTAAAACTACTTCAAATGCTAAAAAATCTTTCCCGAAGGCGCATCTGAGCAACATACATTAAGAATGGCAGTGAAGGCAATTTGCGGTGCACGGTTTGGCTATTGTTATGAAAAGAACATACCAACACACGGTTTATTGACACAGACAGTCGTTTCATTTTTATTTCCCTGACAAGAACCGGATCCAACAAGGCCTCCTTGGCAATACCTCGTTCTTTCACGTGTACCATTGCCACATGCCACTGAACAGTTGGTCCAAGCAGTCCATTCGCTCCATTTTCCGCCTTCGACTACGAATGATATCAAAAATTGCAATCAAAATAACAATTAGAGCAAGGATAACAAAAGAACAGGGCTTGCACAATTCCTGTGACGGAATGTGTGATGAGTTGCAATTGCAAAATTCAAATCAAAGCAAGTATTATTTTTTCGAGAAATAAATTTTAAACTGGCAATATGTTTGCATTAGGAAATTCCTTAGAAGATTGTTGTTGTTGAAAGTTTATTTTAATTCGATATAAAAATAATAGCTAACAATATATACATAAATATACAATGTTAACCAATCAAAATCGAACATAGCTACCAATTATTACATTAAAGTAATTATAGATACTAAGTTAAAGATTAATTTGCATTTACTGGCAGAACTGACGGGCACTACATTTGCAAATTGGCCCGTTCCACTGTTTTATTAGATTCTTAAAACTTTTCAAATTTTCTGCGGATTTCGTATCGTTGGGTAGGCCATTCGAAATCTGTGGCCCGATTGACATAAGACTTCTGGATCCAAATGTTGTTTGATTAGGTCTAACATGGGCTAAGTTATTTGGATTCCTTAATGAATAATTTGACGAACGTAATTTAAAAATAAAAGGTAGGTTCAACTGTTTTACTGTTTTGAATATTTCAACGCACAGAATTTTTTTGACGAGCAACGAGCATCGTGCATTTGTCTGACTGCGCAAGCAGATCGTTATACGAACTTGCATGATCATTATAGAGAAGTCTTAAGAATGTCTAAGAATGACTGCATTTAGGAAAAAATGCTTGCAACCAAATCTCCATTACTTTTCTTTTCAGTCAGCTGCAGAATACCTCTAAATGTGTTTTTTAAACATGCTTGAAAAATATTTACCTGAACACAAGGCTGTGCTGACATTGTAGACCAATCGATAAACATCATTATACGAAAGTGTTCTGAAAATGTAATTGCTATCAGATGCAATTTTCGTAAGAGTTTCATTGTTTATCCTTCCTTCTTCCCCAATAGCCACAACCATAACAGTAATGCCTCGAGCTTTTAATGCATTTATTGCTTCATCAAGAGATGGGGGGTTCTTCCATACATCCATTGTTTGCTCCCCATCTGTTAACACTAGAAGGATGTCGGGTACCTGTGGGCGGTCTCCATTCTCGACTGAAAACATCGTCTTGTTTGCACCACCAAGGGCAACGTTTATGTAAGAATAGCCTATGAAAAATATTATTTAGTCAAATTTAGCCGACTCCAAATGGTTTAAAGTGTATATCAATAAGTGACTCAATTGCAGTTGTAAGACAAAACTGACAAATAATGAAGGGTTACCTACTAATAAATGAATTCAGTTTAAATGTATCCTAAAAACAAACTCTTAAGTTGTGGGTTTCTCTTACCTCCTTGTATGAAGGTCTGAATGTTTTTCTCGAAGTCGCTGTAAGAATTGTGTCTGTTGAAAGCAGCAATAACTTCATCAGGCTTTGTTGAAAATGCCAGGTACGATACTCTTGTATTCTCTTGATTGACAGTAAAAGTAGAAGCCAGCGACAAAATGAACTTTTTAGCTAGTTCATAATGATTTACAGTGCTGCCAGATACATCATGGAGAAACCCAATATCGAAATTCTTGTCACAACCTATTAAGAAATGAAAAATAAAACATTTCTTTACGATATTCCAGAAAAGTTTTGCATTTAATCAAATGTCTAAATCCCTTTACGTAAGCGAATTGGCAAATACTTTGGTATTTCTTTGAAAGTTTTGTACAAACCATTTAATAAAGTAAATGAACTCACTTGTAGGGCAGTTCTGGATGTTGCAAGCCTCTGTTTCACTTAAATCGCCTGAACATATTTCACCTCCTTCGCAGGTTCTCCGACGTGTACGCGTTCCGTCTCCGCAAGTGTGTGAACATGGAGACCACTCTCCCCATGGCGTAAGCTTGCCTGCAAAAAAGGCCAACTCGTCAAGAGTTTCACAACAAGGTGCAAACAACAAGCAATTGTTCATTAAATAGAAAATCACATGTTTCCTACCATTTATTACAAAATCAACTGATTCAAATTAAGATAGCTAACCGTAACATGGTTCCTGGTTGCAGGTAACAACTTCAATTGAATCGCCTTCGCACTGTTTGCCATACTCATTTGCGGCAGGGTTGTTGCACTGTCTCGTGCGTTGGCGCTCGCCTTCTCCGCATGTTTTGGAACACTTTGACCAGTCGGTCCATGGAGACCAGTTTCCATCAACTATGGAAGGAAATAGGATGTTTCACAGAGAAATGCAAGAAATAAAAAATAATTTCTTTCAAGTCATATATCGTCAACATATTGAATTATTTTGACGCGGCAAAAAATACTAACCTTTGCATGGCTGTAGGCTGCACACAGTTGTCATGGTTGAATTACCAGGGCATGGAAGTCCCCCGTTCGCAGGGGCAGGGTTGCTGCACTCACGTGTTCTCGTCATCGTTCCATTTCCACACGTCTTTGAGCAGGGTGAGGGTGTGTTCCAGGCACCCCAGTTTCCATTCACTTAGTAATAAAATAGCAGTTTTGTTAAAATTACTGGAAAATTATTGAAGAAAATTATGTGAAAAACAAAATGACACTTGAATAGGTATCTCAGTAACTTTATGTACAAGTGTGTCTCGGTAATTTCAATTCATTTTAAAACATTTGCTAGTAGTATAACTAGATTTAAAAATGATTAAAATTTTAACAATAGACGAGGAAATACTTAAATTGAATACTATGACAATTTATCTGATATTTTTTTTGACAAACAAGATTTTAGAAGGTCGCTTGCCTAAAAAGAGTTTATCCAAAAATTTTGGAAATTCATGATTCGAAATGACTTTAAAAAGATTCTATAAAATTCATTGGGGAGAAAATATTGAAGGTCATCTGATAAGCTTAGTGAAGAAATTGCAGAATATTTTACCTGGACAAGGTACCACTTGGCATGGTTTTACTTCGATATCGGCCCCTAGGGAAGAGCAATTATTGCCTCCGAAAGATGGGGCTGGGTTGGTGCAGTTCCGTACTCTCGATGTGGTGCCTACGTCACACGTTCTGGAACAGGGCTCCCATTCAGACCATTCAGTGTAGTTTCCATTAACTGCGGCTGCATTTAGGAATGAACAAAAATGAATTACCATCAAATAGTGCCACAGTAAAATATGTATTTAGTTTGTGGGTTGAATATGCAGAGTAAGCGAGAGTATCTTATTAGGATCGAGAAAGAAATGAAGATACGTACGATAATCGAGGCCATACACGAAATTTGCACCAGCCTTTCCTGCACAGTGTGGATCGGTAGAGCTGCACTTTAAGTGTGAATCACCAGCGGCCCCAGCTCCTGAGCTGGTAGACACACATTCCGATGAGCGGCCATCCTGCAAAAAGGATTCAAAATTTTCTTTTTCCAAAGTCACTATGTGAACATCAATATGTTAACCAATAAATTAATGTTTCCTTGTCCCGCAACATTTCTGTAGATATTGAGATTCTTCCATTCCACTTTCTCTTGGGTTTAACATGGTAACATAAATTACTTGGGCATGGCCAAATAACAAACTCCCCCACCAAGGAATTTTGGAAAAAAATAGAGAAAAACCTTTCCCCATACTTAAGCTACTCAGAGCATGAATAAATTTAAAAAATTTGGCTTATCGACATGGCTATTTCTGCTGACTGCTTAAGTTAATGATGCCCCATTTCAAGATATCAATTGGTAATGTTAATGATATCAAATTTCAAGATATCTACTTTAAACTACTTTAGCAAAGAAGCACTTGCCTTATCATAGGTGGTCTTCACGTTAGAGCCACTGTAACACTTTCCATAGTCTTGTAAACCAAAATGGGTGTACTTTCTCTGTTTGGCTTGCTCTGCACATTTACAGACCATTTCAAGTAAGTAAACGTTCCATTGTTGTCCGCTGAGCTTCGATGCATTTGCAGATACGTCGAACAGGAGTTCGGGAAGAGGTTTTGTACCTCCTTTGTCGCTATAGCAACCCAATCTCTTGTAAGGAGTTTTGCCTAAAACGATAAAAAAATTCATACAGAATTAAGCTAGGAAAAAACTGCAAAATTAAAAGTGAAATACACCCAATAAAACTCAAGAAGAAACCTTCTTCAGGCGATTTAAAGTTCGGGCAAAGCTGAATTGAAAAAATGTGAACAATCAAAGCAATCTAAACAGTAAAGCTAGGCTTGTTTTAAATTTTCATTTAAACATGACACAAGATCATAAGACTTTCTTTTTTTAAAAGTATTTCATACCTCTTATAACCTAGGTATATTGAAATTGTTTGGAAAAAATCACGTGAAAATTTTTTTCGAGCGAAACATCGGTGTTGTTAAGGTTCTCAAATCATCGTCAAGGTATTTAACTTTATTTTTCAAATATTTTCTTGTTTTCATTGAAACTTACAGCAATCCTGGATTTTGCATGCCTTGGCCCGGGTCCGCTCTCCCATGCAATCTGTTCCATTATATTTAGGCTCAGGGTTAGTACAGGCTCTTGAACTGTTCTGATAACCATCGCCGCAAGCTGCGGAACAGCTCGACCAAGAAGTCCATTCAGAAAAGCCACCATTTTCTAGCCATTCAAAAAAGAATATTATTCATTTGATAAGGTATATCAATTTATACCTACAGATTGGGTTAACTAATATACACAGTATGCATATCTTGATTTCTCCTTTCACTTGCAAATGTGGTAAGAATGGTATTGCCTGGGAATTCACAAACATTGTATGCATGCCCATGGAGTGAATGGCTGTTAATATCCAAGTTGGTGATAAATATTCTGGTACACATTAGAAGCAGGTTGCACCTGGTATCAAGAATCTTAATTATAACTTACGAGGACACGGTTCCGGATTGCAATTTTCAGTTTCTGACGATGGTCCGAGATCGGAACAGCTCTTTCCGTTGAATTGAGGTGTTGGGTTCGTACAATAACGGCTTCTTTGACGAATTCCTCCTCCACACGTCACAGAACAATCGTCCCAGCCGGTCCAGCTAGTATAATTCCCATCAACTGAAAAATTTGAAATAATAAAAAATGCAAAAATTGTTTATTATTACTCAGTCAGTTTCCAAATCGTTTATTATATGTAAATGACTTATAGGTAAATGACTACAAGACTAAAAAATTCAGTAGGTGGAGGCAGATAAGTTTAAACAATATATTGCAAAACAGAAATCTACAAACTTGGACAAGGTGTCTCATTGCAGCTCAGGGATTCTGTTTTTGAACCATTGCAGCCCTGCCCTCCAAATTTAGGCTCCGGGTTATTGCATGTTCTGTTCCGGTTTTTCAGTCCTGAGTTGCACGAAGCCGAGCAAGAACTCCAAGGCGACCAGTTGCCCCAATTACCATTCACTAGAATGTAGAAGTATTATTTGTAATCTTGTCTATTTTCAATGAATTATAGGATTGTATAAACTAGTAAATAGATATGTATGTTATTCATTGGATTCCGTTACCCAAACTCGTATACTGTTACCCGGAAACCAAAATTGTTCCTCTTAAATTGAATCCATCTGGCATGGAAAGCAATGCCATTGGTTGCTGCGAATTCGGGACATTGTTCGAATAGAGTAATCATCAATCAGCATACAATTATTATCATAATCATTATAAAAAACCTATTGAAGAAATGGAAAGATCATTCTAGACAAGCAAATCGGAATGCTTATGAGTCTATTCAGATCCGTAAAATACTCAAATAACTAAAAAGGTATTTACCAGGACAGTCCATGACTTTGCAGCTCTCGCTGTCTTTCTTGCTGCACGTGCACACTTTTCCACCGTACAATGGCTTGGTGCAATTCCGTGTTCTCGTTTTGTTACCGACCCCGCATGTCACTGAGCAGGCGCTCCATGATCCCCAGCTGAGGCAATGACCATCAACTGCGGGTGAATTTTTTGTTCGTTAGCGGTGAAGTAGAATGTCAAGCAATATGAATTGAAAATATTTTTCATTAATCTGATAACTGGTAAGAACAGAAAATCAAGTGGTAAAATGGTTACAAAAAATCATAGTTATTCTTTTTGGAATCATCGCTGATCCCTTAAAAAGCCTTACTACGGGCAGGCAAAAAATGATGGCCTTGCTAAGGACAGATAAGAAAACCATGCTTGCTTTAGTACATACATGGTTCTAGATACATTAGCCTCCAAAAGCCATATGGAATAATCTGAATATCAGGCAGATTCAAAAAATAGCTTTACTAAATCCTGTCTGCAATATAAAGTTATCGATGTGAGATTCACGATAAAAGCATCTTCATAACATCTTATTCCTTACCTGGACATTGCCCTGCAAAGCATGCTGAAACCTGTTGGTTGCTCGCAGCATTAAAGCATGGATCCCCACCGTGCTGTGGAGGCGGGTTGTTGCATGCTCTTGTCCGGACCACCGTACCGTTGCCACAGGAGACACTACATAATGACCATGGGGCCCATCCACCCCAGTTACCATCGACTGTGAGAATAAATAAACGAATGATTAATTATCATGTATATAAACATTAATCATGTATAAAATCTTCCTTAATCATGAGCAACTCGGTACAAGAAATAACATATAGAACCAAAAAATCATATCAAATCAAATCGGTTCTAATCATATCAAATCGTAACATGATCATTCATTCAAAATCTGCTATACCTGGACACGGGTTTGTATTGCAACTGGCAGTGCTAGTATCCGGTCCAAGAACTGAGCAGTCTTTACCACCAAAGCTCGGTCGTGGATTAGTGCAAGTCCTCTCTCTTTGCTTCACACCTCCTCCGCAGGTCACAGTGCAGTTGCCCCATGCGGACCATTCCGTGTAGTTACCATCAACAACAGTCACTTAAGACAGAAAGAATATGATTGTTATTGGTTTTATCATCCTCATTCAAATAACCATGCATAGAAAAATGCACCTAGCCCATAAATAGTTCTTAAGAAAACACTCATTTTCATAAGCTAGGCATTAAAATTTCTTGCAAGAAGAAGACCAAATCGACACAATTGACGTGTTTTATTACATTTACCGTTTTCAACTCCATATACGTAATTAGTCCCCAGCTTTCCTGCGCAAACCAAGTTGTCTTTGAGGCACAGCTCATATTGGTCTCCTGTTTTCGATGCATTTGCAGTGGCATTAGCCAACGGCAGCCTTGTTGTGCTAATGCACTTCTCCGATGCACCATCTTTCTTATACGTGTCTTCCCCGTTCGGACCACTCCAGCATTCAGCAAAATTTTGAATGCCGAAAAAGGCATATTTCTTCTCTTTGGCAGCCTTTGCACAGGAGCAAATTAGGTCCGGAAGGAATTCTTCCCAACTTTCGGATCTTCGTTTCGCTTCGTCACTGAAGAGCATTTCGGGGAGAGGGCGAGCCTTTCCTGCGTTATCCGCGAAACAACCGATGTCCTTATAAGGAATATCACCTAGAAAAATCAATATTGTATCAATTGTACATTTTGCAAAGAAGGCTTTAACTGAGGGTGTACAAGCTCATGTATATGCTAATATATTCCAAGATACGATAAGAGTTCTTACATATTCACTTATATACACATACATCTAGTTTTACTTACAACACTCTCCCAGTTTACAGTATTTCCTTTGACTTGAGTCACCAGCACAGTCAAGCCCGCCATACTTGGATGCAGGGTTACTGCAGGCTCGTTCTCGCGTTCGGAACCCGTCCCCACAAGTCTTTGAGCATTGCGACCACTGACTCCATTCGGTGAAATTTCCATCAACTAGCAAAGAAATCAAAAGGCGATAAACAAAGAAACAAAGTGTGAAAGAATCGGTGATAAATCGTACAACCACTGATGTTCAGATATGTTGATAATGTGCAATGTGAAAACACACCAACTGCAATGAATCCATAACAATAAAATAGAAATGTTGTCGAAGTAAACATGATAATCAAGGGACAATACTTAAATCATTCAATCGGATAAATCTAAAGTTACATCCATGTTGGTAATGTTAGCTTTTCTAAAATCGATGTCAGTCGCAAACATTCGAAGAACCATACGACAGAGATTCATCATTTTCATTTACATTTTTCTGATCGATTAACTATTTCAGTTCAAGTAGCTACATTGCAATTGCTTCTACTGAAGAAGTTTCCATCTCGAACACTTTGCATTAGAAACTCTCTTTTTGTTAAAAAGAATGAATATAAGATGCAAATTACTTGGGCAGTGAAGAAGGAAGCATTCTTCGTCCTCTATGTCCTCCCCTAGGCCTTGCTCGATGCACGTCTTGCCACCAAAGGCAGTCGAGGGGTTACTGCAACTACGCGATCTGGTTCGGGTGCCATTCCCACATGATTTGTCACAGGCAGTCCAAGATGTCCAAGCAGTGTAGTTACCATTAACTAGAGAAAGGGAATAAGATTACTTTCGTAAGTCATGTTGTGTCTAAACGAAGAAAGTCAAGTTGCTTTACATGTCAACAGCTACAAAAAAGCTTCAGAAATAAGCAGCGAAGGAATCTAATTTGACAAGATGCTTGGCAAAGAGATAAAATCTTAAAGCAAGTATCTTAAATGATTCCTGATAATGAAAATACAGAAACTAAACAGCTAGCCATCAATACCTGGACATTCGGCAAGATTGCAAGACTTGGCTTCTTCCCCACTTCCCGGGCATGTCTGACCACCGTTTGCAGCTCTTGGACAAGCACATTCTCTGGTTCTGTTTCTAGAACCTTGACCACAAGTTGCAGAGCATAGGCTCCAAGGCGCCCACTCGCACCAGTTTCCATTCTCTAGATGAACAAAACAAAGCAAGACATTGGCGTCAACTAGCAACAGATGAAAATTTGGTAATTGGAAGCATGAAAACTTAATGCTATTGAAGAGGATTGCAATGTGATTGGTTGGAGATGGTCACCGACACCTCTTCTTCTATATCCATACATATTTAAGCCGGTCAGTGATAGCCCATGATTGTCGATACGATTTTTGATATGTGCCTCTATTCGAATTTATTGTGATCGAGACAGTAACAAAGATTGAGAAACTTCAATTCAGTTCAATTGTAACAGAGCCTATAATTTGCGATTGAAAAGCATCACAAGCACCTTACGCAATTGAGGGTGGCAGACCATCAGCGTTAACAGCTGCAAAAATACTACAGAAATCTCTTCAAGAAGCCCCATTCACAGCAGAACAACATAAGCTCTAGATAATACGTACGTGGGCAAGGACCATTACTACAGCGACGCTCCTCTGTGTCATCACCCAATCCTTGTTCAAGACAGCTTCTACCCCCATGGGCAGGCCTTGGGCTAGTGCAAGTCCTTTGCCGTATTTGAGTTCCGTTGCCACAGTTTGGGAAACATGAGCTGAATTCTCCCCACTCCGTGTAATTACCATCCACTGAAACGAACATTGAGCCAGATAAGAACGAATAGAAATGTCTTTGTTTCATGAATAGAAAAGGGGTGAAAAACTGAACAGAAATTTCAACATGCAAGCTGTTGTAACTTCCAAATTCATTTTTTATCCTGCAATTTGTAATTTCTAAGCTAAAAAAATTTAATTTCAATGTCTGAAAAAATAATCAACACTTTAGCTATTTGATAAGATTAGAATCTAAAAATGGCTTTGAAAAAAGCAAACATTTCACAACACACTACTATAAACGCTTTTTCGTCTGACACTCCTCAGAGTATAAAATACCAGAATAAGGGTCTAAAAGAACACGATGGAAAATGTATACCCAGTTGTGGATCGAAATAGGCCAATCAGAAAAACGCAAGCACATAAACTCTAGTTGTATAAGCTAAATCCCTGATTATTCAATCCTAACCTGGACAAGGGGGTAAATCGCATTCCTGTTCTTCGATGAAATCTCCAGTACAGTTTGCTCCTCCGTTGGCAGGTTCCGGTGAATTGCACAGTCTGAATCGGAACGACTTCCCTTTACCGCAACTTGGGGAACATTCAGTCCAATTTGTCCATTGACTCATTCCACCATCAACTGAAAAAATTTAAGCATTGCCAAGATTTGTTTGTAAGTGCAAAAGGTTCTTAATCTTTAAAAATACCACTGAAAATGAATCAATTCATGGAGATCTATTGTCCTTAATTACTTATCAAGTTCCAAAGCAATGTGACTGCCTCTTATTGAACTGAATTAGAGAGATTCACATAACTAGCCAATTTCAAATTCAGGAAAAAGAGATTCACGTAACTAGCCAATTTAGTTCTTTGCCTGAAAAGATAAAATAAATACAAATAACTAACACATCATTGCATTAAGTTATACGAGAAGTGAACGTGAGAGCAAAAAAATAAATCTTCGTACCTGGGCATTTCTGAATTTCGCAAGACTTTTCTTGATCTGGCTCGCCAATGGAGCTGCAGTCTTTGCCGCCAAATGCAGGCGCTGGGTTGGTACATGAGCGATACCGAGACTGGGTGCCTGGTCCACACGAGGCACTGCAGTCTGTCCAACTTGACCATGATGTGTAATTTCCATTAATAGCCGTTACTAAGAGAAAAGAATCATTAAGCTATATGAAACACGAATTTCGATGGACTTGTGTACTGTGAGAAAAAGCTGCTCACAAGAAAGTAATCGATTAACGGATCCAGTAAGAACGACAAACAAGTAACAAAAGATGTGATGTTTAAAGGAAATGAGCAAGCAAAACTTTGAATAAACAATAAAAAAAGGTGCCTGAAGTTTCTGGTGTGCTAAAGAATTTCTTTAGATTGTGCTAAAGATTGTAGAAAAACTGCCTGTCCAGAATAATTGGACATTAACAAAAAACATTGAACAGGTACAAAATATGCATTGGTACTGGTACAGAAATGCTCTCTTCAGTACAAAATTGAACGGCAAGCGCAACAAACTTGACTGTAGCTAAAAACGTTCCTTTACAAAAAATGGACACTTACCATTTGCTAAGCCATACACATAATTTGCTTTCTCTTTACCAACACAGACCAAGTCTGGTGACTTGCATGATTCGTACTTCCCTAGAGTTGGCGCTCCTCCTCTTGCGATGCATGAGCTAGACGGGCCATCCTTATTGTATGTCTTCGCTACATTAGGCCCCGAATAACATTTTGACAAAGACTGGATCGAAAAATGTGTGTACTGCTTCTGAAAGGCTGCGTTGGCGCATAAGCAGATCACCTCTTCGATGTACTGATCAAAGTTTTCATAGTCAAGATTGCTGCTATCATCAAATAACTGTTCTGGCAATGGCTTCTGCACCTGCGCCTGCGAAGTGTCCGCAAAACAACCGATGTCTTTGTATGGAACAAGGCCTGACAAAACAGAGAATTGCCTTCAGTAAAATTGCAAAACACGGCCTGAAATGCTTTACCGAATAGTTACAAAATGATTTTTTTAATAGAGCAGCTAAAAGTTTCTGTTCCCCGATACTTATATTATAAATTTATTTACTTACAAGCACTCCCTAAACATTTAAAAATGAGCTGTTTAATGACACCGTTAGTCTGTGAGTTAGCGGCGTCCAGAAACGAATACTTTTCCTGTCGAAAATCTCTTACATCATTATCTAAAAAGAACCCATCTAATAAACATTAACAATGCACGCGGTCGGAGCCTCCAAGGACAAAATTCTTGTACGGTGCTAAACTGTCTAACAAGGCACTTATTTGAATGCTCCTACAAAATAAATAATACTTACAGCAAGGTCCTTCATTGCATGGCTTACTCTCCGTATCATTACCAGAACAAAACTTCCCACCGTATTGAGGCAGGGGGTTGCTGCAGGACCTAGAGCGGTGCACTTGCCCCAGGCCACATGTCTTCGAGCAAGCACTCCAAGATGTCCATTCCGTGAAATTCCCATCAACTAGAAAAGACATTGGAATATTGTCGAATGAGATGAAGATTGTTTTCGTGAGAAAAATTTCGAATCTTTAACTCAAGATAATGTGTTTTGATCTTGGATTTTCTTTGAAAATATATATTTGAATTTATGTGTTTGCTGTTTACGAATTGCTGTTTACGGGTCTGTCAGAAAATGCTTGATGCCGCATAGGTAGAGCTGTATATAACAGTTGCCTAGGGATCGCATTAAGCGTGAAACTCTGAGTAGCAACTTAGAAGCATCCTGTCCAATACATTAATAGCGTTTCGATTTATCATACAACCTGTGTTTACATTTCACAAACAAGATACGTAGCATGTAAAGAGATTTCAGCCTTACTTGGACAGTTTGATAAGTTACACTGTCGCAGATCTTTTGCTGGCCCAATAAGAGAACAGTTTTTGCCTCCATTTAGAGGCGATGGGTTGTTGCACTTTCGTGACCTCGATTGCAGGCCAGCGCCACAGGATTGATCACAAAGAGACCATTCACTCCACTCTGAATAATTTCCGTTTTCTGAAAAGAAACAAATTATCTTATTTAACGGCATGTATAAGGTATATAACATGGTAAGTTCACGATTTTAGACCTCAGTCTTTTTAAAGTAGCGTACAGTAGATATTTATGCTACGCACTATTTCAAATCAAATATCCTTTTGAAAAAAGTTTGTAATAGATTTATGCAGATAAGATGCAGTGCTGAATCAAGATAGAAATGCTTGATAGAAAATTATTGCTTAAAAGCTTAACATGCAACGAACGGCTGGAAGATTCCTTTGCGTCACAGCGAAATCCTAACTATCCTCTGATAGCCTGCAATTGCCCATTACAACCCCTACCTGACCCCAAACAGCCCTTAATTGACCCCAAACTAACTTTGACTACCCTGAACCAATTCCAACAGTAAGTAGCTACTAAAAACCAATGTGAAAGAGAGACTAAGGTTATCCGATGTAAACTCACGGGCACATGGTGCCACACCACATTCCTTTGTTTCTGAGCTTGGTCCTAATTCAGAGCAATCTTTACCGCCATTGGCAGGAGCTGGGTTGGTACAAGTCCTGCCTCTCAATTTGTAACCTCCACCACACGTGCGAGAACAAGATCCCCATTCAGACCAATCCGTGTAATTTCCGTCGATTGCTGAAGCATAAAAAGGCAAAATTTACTTTTTTCACATCAGTGTACATGCCCTCTTTCAGACTCAGTCACTAATTTTAATACAGATTGTTTCTAAGACACTTAAGTTTGGCAATCTTCAAAATATATGGTTCCTATCATTTAACAGCTTTATAACTTTGATTTCCATGTAGCAAAAACCATATTTCTCAGAACAAAGCTATTAATCATTTATCAGAAAAAATTATTTAGTGTAAGGGTCATAATGCATCGATTTGTTTGTCAAAAATAAAACATTTAGGACGAGGTTCAAGAGCTGATTTTGTCTCATTTTTTGTGAGGGTCACTTACGACATTTGAAGCCAGTGTAGCATTGCTGCAGATCTGTGGCTGGACCAACACATTCTGCTCCACCGAACATGGCTGGTGGATCATCGTCCTCTCTATGGCGGATCTGCACGCCCTGATCACATGTAGCACTACATCTGCTCCACTGACTCCATTCTGACCAGGAGCAGTTCACTAGTGCAAAAAAGTACAAAAAATTGTCAGTAAATATTACATAAATTACAATTATGCGTTAAGTGTCCTTCATTTGGCACGGTGGGAAAGTACCAGACCCTAACTACGGCGGATACAAAACGGCCACAAAAACTATTCATATGATCAGCGTACCTGGACATGGCACATTTTCACAGGTTTCTGATTGCACAGCCGGACCTTGGCAGCCAGGTTTTCCATAAGCTGGGGGAGGGTTGTCGCATTCCCGGAACCTTTGCCGGATTCCTTCCCCACAAGATAAGGAGCAGGCAGTCCAGTTTGACCATTTTCCCCAATTTGCTGGTCCTGCATGAAAGAAGAAATACATAAATTTTTTACATACCAACTCTTCTAAAAATTTTCTCTCAAGCTCCTGGTTTTTTTTACCTTAGTGGCAGATGTTAATCTCAACACAAAAGAGTTGTGAACAGCTTTCCTTTTTAACTACCGCCGTAAAATAGTAGCAATTAACCGTCAGACATTTGCAGTTTCAAGAAACTTCCTTACAAATGCGAACCAAAAGTAAATCTTTTCATTGCGCCAAGAAAATGAATATTTTGTTTATTCTGTACCTTCACATTTAATTTTCATGCATGGTTTTGTCTCAACCGGTTCACCAAGATGAGAACAGTTTCTTCCTCCAAATGCAGGTTTTGGATTGGTGCATTCTCTGACACGTGACTGCTGGCCCTCGCCGCAAGTTGTAGAGCATTCACTCCAGTCGCTCCATTGTGTGTAATTTCCATCCACTGCAGTTACTGAAGTACAGAAAAAATTGACAGATTTCTATATATTTCAGTTTCATACACAACGATACAGCTGTAATATTATGCACAAGTATGCTGCCTGTGATTGTCAATACTGTTAATGAACAGGTGAAATGGTAAGACGTTGTTTGTAGTGGAGTCGGGCATTGGAGTCGGGCTTTTAAGTCAGAAATATTATTATATCTCACAAGCATGTAGAGGCGAACAATTCAGAACAGATTATGTAGTCTGTCTAGTTTGTCCGTAGCTTTTCTTATAAAGACTTTAACTAATTGTAACAAACTTTTCAACAACTTGAAAAAATACCCACAATACCAAGCCAGGAACAAGGCCTAACGAAACTCAGTGCTGGACATTTGAAGGAAATGGAATATTTCAAGCTGTTACAACATGGTTCTTATTGCAATAGCAAAGTGGCTGCTAAAAGTCAAAGTTTGCACTTAGAGCTTCTAGCAAAAGGGTTAAGACGTATGAAGTGACATTTCTTGCTCACCATTCTCCAAGCCATAGACAAAATTTGTCATCTCTTGCCCGATGCAGGTAGACGAGGGCTGTTGGCACTGTTTGTAATTTGTATCCATGCATCCGATCCATGGCTTGTTATCCGGCCTAAATCTGAACAGCGTCTCTTTTCCTTGTGAGGCGTAAGTCTTTGCAACATCGGGACCGGAGTAGCACTCTCCGTACTCCTGGATTGAAAAATGCGTGAATTTCTTCTCTTTAGACACTTTTGCACACCTGGAAAGAGAGACATTTCGAAAAAACTTTATTTTAAACTTTATTAAAATTTTATTTCGACAGGTTTTGGTTGGCCTATTCATTCAGAAACTGAAAAATTAAAATGTTGAATATAAAATGCGACACTATTTTTGCTAACCATCATTGGTAATTTACAAATGGTGCTCAATGGTGAAGGAAGATAGGATAGAATTCTTAACCTCGCGGCTACTTAATTAATCACTACGGATGTAGGAAATAAATGGTGCAGGTAATTTTGTGCAATTTGCTTGTCTTGCGATATATTACTTTAGGTCCTCAAAAGACAAATTCTGGTTTCTTCTACTACAAGAATTTTCTTCTTGTTTGAAATTGATAATCAAAATACTGAACACAGAGAGTAAATATCATGATCGTTCAAGCATACCTGCAAATCAGCTCAGTGACGTACGAATCGAAGTCCTGGCCATGAACAGGAATACCACTATAAACATCATCTTTCGGGTCTCGATCAGTAAAGAGCAGTTGCGGAAGAGGGCGTGGAATTGCGCCAGTGTCCTTGAAGCAACCTATGTCTTTATAAGGAATGTCGCCTGAAAATAAGCGTAGAAGAATAAACAACATTTCGAAACAGGAATGTTTGAACATAGGATATAAATCAACAGAGAGGAAGATTCATATGCGGCGTGAGGTTCAGCGTGTACTTTGTAAGAAAGTACTTTCTCAAAAGAAAACAATTACCAGTTTAAACACGACAAATATTCGACACGCAAATTTATACTTGTAATTCTTGAATTTGCTTAAAAAAGTTATTCAAAAGACATTCAAAGAAACTCACAGCATTCCGCCTGCTTGCAGAATATAACTGAAGTTGAATTTCCAGCACAGGAAGTGCCACCGTTTGCTGGTGGCGGAGAATCACAACTTCTCTTCCTAGACATCGTTCCGTCACCACATGTCTTTGAGCACTGGCTCCATGGAGACCAGTTCGACCACGAGCCGTCACCTGTAATGAAAAATGATGATTTTATTTTTACAGTTTACATAAAATTGCAAATACTGCATTTGGTGTAAATCGAACACTTGTTTTTGGCTTCAAAAGCAACGATCATTCGACTGAGCCAAATGGCCAATTTTATAAAAATAATAATAATATTTTATTGTTACCATGAAAGTTCACAAATTTGCATATTTTTATAATTGTATTTGCCTAACTTACGTGGACAGGGATCTTTCAAACATCCCAGAACTTCTTCGCCAAGCCCAAGACTGCTACAGTCTTTACCTCCATATTTTGGGGAAGGATTAGTACAATCTCGCTGCCTGGATTTTGTTCCATTACCGCAAGTGACAGAGCATTCGGTCCAGCTGGTCCACGACGAGTAATTACCATGGACTAAAAGATAGATCATTGTTTTTCCATAACAAATACACAACAGGAAGCTGCGAAAAAAGGGTCTTTCTCAGTTGACAACTTTGACATGAATTTTTTAAATTTTATCAGCCGTAAGTTTTTTTAGAGCCAGTCGAAAATCTGAAGTTTAAGAAGGGATACCTGGGCATGGGGTTTGGTGACATTCATCTTGTGCCATATCTGCTCCTTCGCATATCTTGCCTCCATTTGTAGGCATAGGGTTGTTGCACTCGCGCCAGTGGGTCCTGTACCCGATACCACAAGTAACGCTGCAGGCGCTCCATTGCCCCCATGCGCCCCAGTTGCCATCAACTGAAAAAAGCACAAATGCTACGTTTAAGAAACTAGCAGAAAATGACGCAAAATAAATGGACTGGTCCTTGCAAGACACGATTTCAATTACAAACTGAATTTCACGATTTAAATTACAAACTGGGGAAAAACGAGCTTATACGATCTTAACCCTCTCGTACGAGACACATTAATTGTTTCCAAAAGACCTACTTGCGCATGGTCCCATATCACAACTGGTCGACTCGTCTTCAGGGCCAAGACCAGCCTCGATGCAGTTAAGGCCGCCATACTGAGGTTCAGGCGTATCGCACTCCCGATGCCTTGTTCTGTATCCAACACCGCATGATACGGAACATTTTGTCCAGTTTGACCAGGATCCAAAGCCTCCGTCAACTACAAGGAAGATGGTATCTGTAAATTGCACTGAATGTATATAGCCTTTTAGTTTGATGAATCTAAACTCTTTGCTTATAACTTTCATTGACATTTTAGCTAAGGACACTTAGGAAAAATTGCTATTTTGTAATGTTTTAGAGTCAGAGCCTAGAGCCTTAGTATGAGTGTTACACTGTAAACGGAATAACTATCTTTCAACAAAATTATATCTATAACTTGTTTATACTTCAGAATACGCATTACTTTTGTTGCACACCCAAATGCCTGTCATTAATTTTAATAAAGAGCTGCAAAAGCCTTAAAAAGTTATTTTGGTGCATAAGATTTTGAGTTTCTAGTAGCTACACCGTGATCCTAAGTACAGTGAAATCCTGTTGTTACGAACTTTGTAGGGACAGAGAAAAAGTTCATAATAGCTGGAATTTGCTCTATAGAAGTAAAATTTCGTGGCAAGATTATCAATAAAATACGTCTCTCTACCTAATGGACTCTCTCCTCCTATTATCTAGACCTAATTGGCACATTGCATTATTCACTGTTGACAGACTTGCAATCCTTGCTGCTCTAATAGTTGTTGTCAATAGAAAGTAAACGTTGTGAATTTTTTCTGATAACTTTTTTGAAAACGAGGCATGACAGAGAATTTTTGATAGCAATGATCAGTCAGTATCCATGAATTTCTGAAGAAACCAGCAAAATTTACTTCTCTTCTCTTGACAACGGCTTTTTCATATAGCATCGAAAGAGACCCTCTTTCTGACACAACCCTCTTTCTCAAGAGATCGTTTTATCAACGTTATTTATGGGAAGGAGACCAAAGGTTTGATTCGCTATAACGCAATTCTGTTATACCAAGGGCCCGATATATGGGGTGCAGCTAAGTTTATGTTTGTCCCTCACCCCTTAATATAAAAACATTGTCACCCCTTTTTTAAATGCGGGTTTTGTCAAAAATCACGCTCTATCGAATTTGAGATCTGATTGAGAAAAGTTTGTTCGAGATCTCAATAAAAATAAGTTTGATTGAGATCTTACATGTTTTTCATTCAATGTATATCGGTTTCTAGTATGCCACCATTGGTAACCACAATGAAAGCACGTGTAAAAACTTCTTTTTTAGCGCAAAAACGAAACGTTAGAATGGCTCGGAGGGATTCAAATATTGGCCAGAAAAATATTGTCTATTTATAGATTGATTTGTGCAAACCAAAAACAAAGAAGCAGTGAAAAAGCCAGATGTTTTGTGTCATACGATATTTATAAAGGCAAGCGGTATTGTGTCCGGGGAAACCTTAGTTACGGCAACAGGTACTGTTTATGATGAGGTGTTGAAAAGAACCCTAGATGTTAGCAATAGCAGTAGTTGTCTACGAAAATGGTTGCAGTTTACTTTGCCTCTGAAATACATTCACAAAGGGAATATTTGATAATTCTTAATAATAACGAAAAAGTTGCATCGACTTTTTCTGTTTAATAAAATTCTGAAAATGTTCTGCATTTCAAATTTGGATTCTTTTAGAAAGTTCGTGCAGCTATTGCTGAAAATGTGTCCAATTAAAGTGGACACATTTTCTTGCAGCTTTTATAGCCCATAATATAACCCATCAAATGCCGATGAATGACAGAATATGCTCCACCCTCAAAACCAAGCATCGTATTTAGAATCAACGCCGCTATAAAGAATAGGCCTCTTAAGGTTGCTGAAAATTCTAGCAGTTTATCTATGAGCGAATGTGGTTAGCAAAAGCCGAACGCAGCAGGAGATTCTCAGCCCGTACTAAGCTCAGAACATCAGTTTTCGATGCTTGGAGTATGGGTTGCTTTAACTAAAGGACGAAGTTGGCTTTCAAGAGCTTGTACTTAGCCGTCGAATTTCCTTCTGCATTGACTAACGTGTGATAATCATGACAGAAAGAAGCACAGAGAAAGCCACTTTATTTTTTCGAAGTTTTTAATCGTGAAATTCCATGACTAAGTACAAGGTCCTGCAGCAATTACGGGCTATGCAACACAACTTCGTGTAAGCTTTAGGTCAATCTACTAACAATATAATATAATCAGGTTTTGAAGTGTTTTAGATCTCATTTAATGTCTCTCTTCTTGCGGTACAGCTCTACGGTTCTGAGCCAAGGAAAGATAAAATTTGACCTTACAAGCATCGCCTTATCAGAATTGGAGAACTGGGACGACTTTTTTGAACTCTTGTTTCTGATATTCTGAGCTTTCGGGCCGGACTTGGACAAACTCCCTTGATGCGTTTTAAGGTTTGCCGGTAATTGAAGGGGCTGACCCAACATAGTTTGTTGAATGGTCTGAGGTAAGGGATTATTTCGCCCAACACTGTACTTAGCTGCAAACATACTTGGCTCGTCCGTGATTGGTGGTCGTGTTGGTGGTGAAGTGCAGTTCTCACAGGGCGGGCAGACGCCGAGAAGAGGGGATGGACATTCAGTACCTGTAAATTGAATAATAAATTTAGTAAAATTGTTAAACTTTAGTAAGAAAGCTTTGCTTAAGTTTTTAAAACATCGTTCAAAATCAGGCCTATATAAAGTAACTGCTCTTATGGCATTTTTGGCACTATGGAACTATTCTTATAGCACAAAATGACCACGCGAAACCGATGAGATTCTGCTATTCTTGATAATCAAGGCCAATTAACAATTCTAAGGCAAAAGCACAAATTTATATGACTTCACAGATTGCAAATTTAACCTACTTCACTTTAGCCATTCCCTTTTACAAATATTTCTTTTCATTACGATCTTCTACAAGACACAAGAGTTGCTTCGCGATAAGACAATGTCAAGCAATTGTTATACTTCTGAGCTCGAAGAAGCTCAGCACTTTCCTACCTTCTCTCAACTTGCAAGTGTCTGCTACAACGCGAACTTGTTCGTCGATCAACGAGCAATTGAAGATGTAAAATTCATCGATGAGACCCTTGAACTGAGTGCCAGAGCCACCGCCTGCTATCTTTGCATAAGCATCCCAGTCTTGAGTAAGAGGACCTAAAATCAGTGTTTAGAATTCAATGTCAATTGCAGATATAAACCTTCCACATAAAGGAAAACGGTGAAAGGGCTAGAAAGAAAATTTACAGAAGAAATCGAATTCTTGAGAAGAACTTCACTAGGTGAAATCCACTAAACAAAGTTGAGATAAAAATCAAAAATTTCTTTGTCAATCAAATTGGAGATGATCAAATAGTCGTCGTAAGGAGATGATCTAAGCGAACTAAGAGAATCATAGAATGATCAGAATTCATTATTCATTAGAATCATCAGAATCATAGAAAATCATAGAATCATAGAATCATTCGAGAAGAGAATCATAGAATCGTTAGAGCAATAAGAGAATCATAGAATGAAAAATAATACATTTTGTTAAAGGCTATAAATTAATCAATAAGGATATCTAAAAGGTTATCAATCTGTGCAATGCGTAACATTAGAGTTATGATTGAACACCTCCAGCTTTCCAACGAACACGACCTTTAAACAATAAGAAAAGTGAGCAAAGGCTAAAAATAATCATTGATTTCGCAAAGATCTTATGCCGCAAATTTTAACAACGCTAATGAAACCAGCTGGATGATCTAGCAATACAAGATGTACCTTGGCCGACTGTAACCTTGCTTTCTTCTGCGTTGACAAAGAATCGGACTTTTCCACTCGTAACATCGTATGATCCAGCGATGTGAATCCAAGTCTTTGAAGGTATCAATGACTCGGTCACTATGAAAAAGACTCTTTTCCCAACTGGATCGATGTGATACCAACGAATTTTTCCTTGCTCCACCTCCAGGAAGAAGTTGTCTATAACAAAATCAGATTCTTAAAAAGTCATTCATCTGGAGGGTTCTTTGTGTTAACGCAATTCCTAAATGCAAGAAAGCAAACAGCGAAATTGGACCAGTTGAGAAATATGAAAGTTAAATAACTAATACAAAATATTCTGATGCATTAAAAGTATCCACATGAAGTCAAATGCTGTTTTTAAGCAGTATTAACTATTCATAAGTGATAATGAGTTCTTTCTTTGAGACTGTAAGCAGTGCTCTTCTTTCTATGCCACGAACGTCAAAGAATGGAGCTTGGACAAAAAGAAATCAAAATTGTCAAATGTTTTACTTCAGGTAGGCCATTTGACATATATTTATTTAACCCTGTGGGTAATTCGCAGAGTTCATCTTTCATTAGAATAATACCGTTGAGCTTTGAAAATATTCCTTCAAAAAAATGAGTTAAAGGCGAAGTTTTGGTACTTCCTTAAGCAGAGGTCTTCAATTGGGAAGGCCAAGGGGATGAAATCTACAAGTCGAAACGGGAAGGAACGATACAAACTTAAGATAAAAGTCATAGTACATGACCTAACTGACCTGCACTACTCCCACCAGCTCTAGTTGCAAATATGGTTTGTCTGTCTACACTCGACTCGATGTAAATCCAAGCAGCAACTGTAATGGCTACTGATGGCTTTGGGTTGAACTTTGAGCCATCGAAAACTATTTCTCCGCCATCTAACTTGACGGCGTAGCCACAGCTGAAGTTGCCATTGACAAAGGTAAGATTGCCATCGAGTTGGGCATCGTTGTGATAGGGACTTTCATCATAAACAATTTTGTTCAGCTCGTCAATTCGGTCGAAGCTCAGGTAGGCAACAAGGCATTCTGGGTCTGAATTCACAAAAACAAACATTGAATGAATTGAGATTTCTGTAACTTGGATATCATAAAAAAGCAAAAGTACGTTCAGTCTGATTGGTTGAAAATAGAACGATGCATATATCACAAGCCAATTAGATGATAGCTATTTCAGTCAAACCTTTGCAAGAAATTGTGATATGGTCTAAAGTGATGTCATTGCATGATTCAAATTTATTTAAATATATTGTTTTCTCAAAGTGAGAGTTTTGGAATCCACTTGTTAATGCATCCCCAAAGTGGTAGGTAGCCAAACTGCTAAAATTAAGTAGAAAAACAGCTTACATGGCCCTGGTTGCGGTCTTGGCGTTGTTTCTAGAAGAAAAATGTAAATTTTATGGGTTTTATAAAGATGGTAAAAATAGTAGATAAGACAGAAAATAAAAACATCTGTCATTGAAGATGTTTTGACAGAAGGAGTAGCTGATCCTTGAACTTTTTGATTCTTTGAAGGAGTAGCAATTCATTCCAAAATGTTAATAAGCAGAACAAACTATTGTGGAGTTGGAAGCAATCGAAGTGGCCAATGGAAAACTGAGGAAAAAGCCTTTTAACGAACTGGTAGTATATTTCGAGTATGGTTGAAATGCTGCAATTATAGAGATCCTATCCGCTATTATTCTATTTAAAAAACAAGGGAATATTTTAATGACTTTCAAACTATGTGCAAGTTGGAATTGAACTATAATTATTTGAATAACAGAACAGCTGGCTGGAAGTTTAGAAAGAAATACATTGCGAGCACATTAGACTATTGTTGTGGATGAGCACATTAGACTATTGGCCATCATTGAATATTCTTATTAGAGCAAAACGTGGCGGTGATCGTGCAAACATAAGCTAGGACTGGGAGCGGAGTGATAATGACATATGCACCATCAGATAGGTGCACCTTTGATAAACAAAAGCAAGAAAATCTGAGGGTTGTGTTATATCGTACTTGGTGGTGTGGTTGTAGAAGGGGGGCAAGGCTGTTTATTACAAATTCGGCTTTCAATCTCTTGTTCAAAATGGGAGCACGTCCTGAACCGCTCTTGATATCCTCCTCCGCAGGAAAGCGAGCATTTCGACCACTTTGACCACTCGGTGCATTCTGCAGTGATGGAGGATATCAAGAGATTAGCAAGGAAGCTTTCACAGATTCGAGGCTGCTAGCGAAAAGAATATAAATAGTATGTTTTGCCGATAAATGATCTGAAAACAACTCGAAAGTTTACGAAACAAGAAATAACGCGGATGACTAAAACTTTCGAAAGAGAGCACGATTCTGCGATCTCATCAGATTGTTGATAGGAATAGTATTGAGATGATTGGTCTAGTCATGTGGGGTGAATTCTTGAAGCGTTGTAGTACAATTTGCGTATTTTGCTAACTAGACAATGCTTTTGCTGCCACGATGTATTACTGTTCATATCAACCCTCCCATTAAATGGAGCAAAATATCAAACGTTCAAACGGTTTACAAACGTTCTCTGAAGTCAATTTTGCTAAAATATTTGGTTCATCGCATACTTTTGGATTTTCCGACGCGTTCGAAATCGGTTATCAATTATCTTGCTTTGTTGGCTTCCCAACAAAGAGGTTCTTGAACAAACAACTGCGCATTATAAAAGTTACCAAATCGAAAAGAAATTATTGCATAAAAATGTTGTAAATTACTGAGACTTCACTCACCGGGAAGAGGGGTCGTCGTAGGTACAGTGGTTATATTTGGTGTTGAAGCAGTAGTGGTCATTTTTGGTGTAGTAGGCGTGGTTGGCGGCGGAGTCGTAGTTGATGGCGGCGTCGAAGGAGCAGTTGTTGGTGTGGTGGCATTTCCTAATAGGTAAGTTCAAGTTAGTAAGCAGGCAGTAGAGCTCACGGGGCCTTTGCTAGCTTTGTAATATTGAAAATAAATCGGATTGAATGGTTACAAACAGTGCTTCGGCATTTGTAGTAGGCTTAAATGTGTTTTGCGTTTGTATTTAGTGTTTTGCGAAAGATTTAGTGATAGCCAAAGCAATATTCAATGTGTTAAGTTTCTCTTTTACACGCTAAGCTTAAAAATAACTCACCGGGGCAAGGCAATGTGTTACAAGGTCTTGCTTGCAGCTCGTCGTGTTCATGGGTGCTGTTTTTGCAATGCCTTATTCTTGATTGCAGCCCATTGCATGTAGCGGAGCATTCAGACCAATTTGACCAAACTGAGCAAACTAAAAGAGCAGAAGACGAAAATAGATATATAAATATTATGACAGAGAACGCTTACTACAATGAGCAACAGAACTTGCTTTATCATATCTGTCTGAGCATTCTACCCATTTATTAAAATTTGCTTTTATCGCCAGAACTTTTTTAAGCTTGATAAAGAATGTTTGTTTCTTTATGCAATTATAAAAGTTTCAGAAGCGAGATTCAAATGAAAAATCTCTAAGCAAAAAAAGTTCAAAGCACCCTTTCAATCTGGAGGGCCTTCTAATGACAGGGGGGGGGGTAATAGCTACTTTGCAACTTTATAAAATAGTTAACGTGAATACTTTGCTTTGCTTATTGCGCTTTGCGGATTGCACTTTGCTTAAAAAACAGAATTTACCTTCATAAAATGCAACAACTGTTATCAAATAGTTCAGCCGAGAAAAATGCAGTAAAAATTGAACAAACCTGTTGGAGAGGGTGTGGGTGTCGTTGGAGGCGAAGTCGTAGTTATGCACGGGAATGTGTTACAAGAAACACTATCTTCCTCTACCTTGCCATCGCAGGTCCTCCATCTTTCTGAAAAACCGCCCCCGCATGACTTAGAACATGCTGTGAAGGCGGACCATTCACCACATACTAAAAAATAAGTGAGCAGCCGTTAAATACATTATAGATGAGAGAGCCAGGACAATAGTAGTCATGATTAAACTCGGAAATGATGGTTTTTTAAAATAGTCTTATTGAGGGAAATAAAACTTAAAAAATGACAAGCGTCACAAAAATTAACATTCTACATTGAATCATATATGAGCGAAAAAGCAAGAAATATTTTCATTTCCTCGTTTGTTAATACAGGCCACAATACCAACATGATTATCGAATCCACTTTAATATAACATACAATCACGGTCAAAAGTTTCGAAACAATTGCGTCAACATTCCATGTCAAATTCTTTGGAAAATGTTAGTTTGCTAAATTATGAGGAACAGAGAAGCAAAAGTAAAAGTATTCGAGAGGAAAAATGAAAAATATAAGAACACGACTCAAGCCGTGTTTCAAGTGAATTTAACAAGCATTGTACATCTTAAATAAAATATCTGTCGAATGACGCTTGGCCACTGTAGCGAAAAACCATGAACGTGTGACGCAATCATGAAACTAAAAAATTACAGCCGGTTTATTTCGTTCTAGTGAAAAAAACATGCGTAGAACGCACCTCTATCGCACTGCTTAGCATTACAAGTCTCGATTTCAGGCTGGTAAAACTTTATACCATCCTCGCTGTGACATTCCTTCACACGCATTCTGTCACCACCGTTGCAGGTCGCAGAACACTCAGTCCAGGCTCCCCATTCAAAGCATTTTATTTCTGCAAAATTGTTTCAGTTAATAGAAATGAGACAAAGAAAACGTGTTTCACTTAAGCTAAATAATTAAAAAGGCCTTTGTAGGCTTGCAAGTGATGTATTGACTTTGCAAAGAATTTTGAAAAGAGAACCCAGCCCAGTTACACGATGGCAGCTTTAATAGAACATTGAAAATAGACTATTCCGTATAAAACAATAGGAAGTCAACAAGTAAAGATATTGAATGAACAAGCTGTGACAAGCATCACGTACTTGGTTGACAAGGCTGCGTGTTGCACTCTTGCACTTCGCCTTCGCTAAACTTTGTCGTTTTGCCATGGCTATCTATCGAGCAGTTTCTTACACGATGCTGTGATCCTCCTCCGCAAGTTTTTGTGCATTCAGACCATTTTCCCCATATTCCGCAAACTATTAAAATAAAATTGAAGAACATATAGAATTTCATTTCTATTCAAAATCTATTCAAAGAACAGTAATAATTGCTCCCAAAAAGCAAAATCAGCCGACAAGCAGAATCAAACGAATTGAATTTGGAGCACCTAAGGTTTTCCCATTCTTTAATAATTATTCATATTCCTATGGATGGTTATTTCTATTTTATTTTATCATATACTGATTGCTGCTCTTTGCACCAGTAGACCTCTTTCACATGCCTATCGCATCACGTGTTAAGATAAAAAAGTCCTATATCCTGTCTTGTTTTGACTAAATGTCATATTGATAATCTCATATTGCGGAAAGTCATAAAAAGCATTACAGTACGCTCCCACCTGGCGGACAGTCTTGGGTGTTGCACACGCGGTGGTCATAATACGTCATATTGTCTCCATTGTTCAATTTGCAATTTGTGTATCTGTATTGCGTCCCTTCCCCACATGACTTTGTGCAGGCCGTCCAAGCTGACCATTGATTACAATCTAAAAGGATTTACATGCTTCAATGTCACTACTGCAACTGGCACATACCTTACTGGCACATACCTTATTACTTATCCCTAGGGGCGAGACTTGGTACTTTACTACTTGTTTCGGAGGTGTTCGCAGAAAGTTCTCTAAAAGAGTCTTGATTTTGTCTAACGACCGACGATTCAAACAATTGTTTGGCCTTAGAAAATAATCAAATCCTTTGAGAAAACAAATGCCGAGTAAATCGTTGGGCAAACATCTCGATACTTGCGCGACGAAAAAACCTTTCAGCCTTTCGGCAGAGGGGCCTTAATCTCTTAACAATATCAAGACTATTCAACCAGCTTAACTTTACAACATGCAATGAAATCTAAACAAGGTTAAGGGCAAAACAGCTAGAGCATTTTGAGATTTGCTTCCATTTCTTACCTGGCGGACAAGGGTCAGGATTGCAAATTCTTTGCTCGTAGAATACTCTTGAGAACGATCTGATGCCGTCAGTCAAGCTGCAGTTTCTGTATCTAGCTTGACTACCTTTACCGCAACTTTTGCTGCATTCTGACCACGCAGTCCACGGTTTGCAATCTATATAAACAGAAAATAGAATGAAAGAAAAACCAACATTTTATCGGTAAATATCCGCATGGCTTTAGCGGAAAATTATGAAGGGAGCGAGGAGTAATGACGTCACAATGAATGATGGAAACAGAAGAAATTTTGCAAGTTGAGGATGCAAAAAGGAACTATAAAGTTTCTTAGTCTATTAGGCTGGAGAGGTAGGTCGCTAGCCACAATTGTAAAGAAGACTGATTACAAATGGCTAATTGTGTTGATCAGCTATACATCTCACGTAAATGGCGCACGGCAAAGAGGTTCTGTACATTTTATGATTACAAAATCCACCTACCAGCGGGGCAGTCTGCCATGTAACATTGCTTCCGATCAATAAAAACTTTAATTTCCCCATTCATACTGCAATTTCTAAATCGCTGCTGGAATCCATAACCGCAAGTGGCAGAGCATTCACTCCATTGGGTCCAGTTTCCACATTCTAAAAAAATACACAGATTTAAGTGGTGTTCTTCTCGTGGAAACATAAGTTAGATATAAAAATTATATAGTAGCAAAATCTACCTTCACCTGCGATAACGCAAGTTTTCAGCTATATACAATTAAGAGATCTTTTGCATATGTTTCTACAAAATTTGTGTGTTGATAGGAGCTGCCACTCACCCATAGAACAGACGTTCGTATTGCATGGCTGAGTTTCATACTCGACTTCATTCACAAGGACGGCCTTTGTGCAGTTTCTATATCTGTACTTTTGTCCCCCACCGCAAGTCTTGTCACAATTCGTCCATTCTGACCAAGTTCCGCAACCTGTTCATAAAATATAGAAGGATTGAATCTTTTGCTAGTCTCTTTATACACTACCCTATCAAAAGTATTGCACGACCTCGAAGGAGGAAAAATGGCGTATAAAAGATCGAAAGATGTTGTTATGCAAATTAATTGTTTTCTTAAGTGACGAATTGGAATGGGTCGGACGTGAAACGGCCATCAATTAAAACTTCAAGCTATTTCGAGCACTTGCTTAAAAATTAACACCAAATAACGTTTTTTAACATTTTTGAATTCCAATATCTTGCTCGGCATCAATTTTCATGTCTTTCATTTTATAGCGACTTACCTCTCATTTGACAAATTCCCTCCCGTGGGCATGGTCTACATCTTGAGATTTTTTGCGTAATTTAAATATTTCTAATTAAACTTTCTAGTTAGAAATTTTCAACAAAATTTTGAAATTTTTCCCGCCAAAATTTGCTATAAAATACGCTCTATTCACCCAATTCGTTTATTCAAATGTCTTTGATTGTCAAAAAGTTGACCAAAAATGTCGCCATTTTGACAAAGTGGTGCAGTACTTTTGATACCCTAGTGTACATTCATTTACGTAATAATGCAATTGCAAAGAATAAGTCAACCTCATGGGCAGGCAACTTCAACGGATTTAGGTATGATCAAAGAGTTAAGCAGTGTTTGAAAAAACTTTGTCCACATGATTACAGAGGATGAAGGAAATTACCGATGGTAGCAGGAGTTATGGTTGGGGAAGGTGCTGTGGTCTTTGGTGACTTGGTTGTTTCTTTGGTGGTCGGTTGTCTAGTGGAGTAGGTTGTTGTTGACGGTTGTGTTGTTGTAGGTGGCGCTGTTGTGGAAGGCGGTGCTGTTGTTGTAGGTGGCGCTGTTGTTGTGGGTGGCGCTGTTGTGGTAGGTGGCGCTGTTGTTGTAGGTGGCGCTGTTGTTGTAGGCGGCGCAGTGCTTGTGGATGGAGCTGTTGTCGCTGGAGGTTTGGTTGTTACCAGGCTTCCTGTTGTGCTTTTTGCTGTAGTTAAAGGAGTCTGCGTTGTGTATGCGGTACTTGCAGTTGTGTATGGGGCTGTTGTTGTTGTGAGCGCTGGACATGGGTAATATGGGCACCCTGTAAAAACAGACTTATTAGCGAAAGATCGAGAACATACATTGGAAGTTATCCTAATGGGAAGTCTTCGTGTGCTTTGGTCGTATAAGGAAACTTGAGAAGAAGAATATGAGTAGGACACACATTCTTAATAACGATGAAGAAAAAAATGAATTAATAGCCATTGGAGTACAATTTGATGTCAGAAACAGGACTCTGATGACACAGACATACCTGCGCAGTATCCCCATAATCGATCTTTATCAAAATTGAGGGTAGTTCCACACCAGTATACTTGTCCGGGGTTCATAATGCAGGAGTAGTACGGCTGCCCGTTGTAAATGAAAGGAAATGAGCAGCAACCGTTGTTGCCAGTGCCACCATTAGAAGGCACTGTGCACGTAGTGTTTTGTCCTGAAATAGTAAAGGCTGCTATCAATATTGCTTCGGTGTTTACATTTGGTACATTTTTAATATTGCAACAGATTTAAGAACACATTACAAAATGTCGATCAAACACATGGTATCGATAGCTGTATTAAACATTGTACATAAAGAGAACTCAGAAGAATTCAGCCATGATTTTTTTTCTATGTCAGGAACTTGCTACGGATTTAACTATTAACGCAAGACCGTGATTAATTAAACAAGAAACATTGTCAGCAGAAACAAGCTGATTTTTGTCGACACACGAGTTATAATAACATATACACAACATTTTATTATTTGTCTTTTCAGCTTCAATCTTATACCTTTCCCTGAATGCTTAGGAATTTTAAATCGGTGGGATGATTGTAAATTGATGCAAAGCTCATAAATTGACGGCTCCTTCGTTTTTTGAGGAAGACCATAGCATTTAAAAGAATGACTAAACGATATGATTGACGCCATACTACAAGAATGTCAGCATTTGATTCATAAGATGAATACGAATCAATGAATACCTTTGCATCTGATTTGACAGTTTTTCTTTAGCCATTCCTCGCCACACCTTGACAAAGGATACTCTACACAGCGTGAATCATCGGCTTGTGCCACGCCTGGTAAGAAATGCACCATCACGTTAAAAAACATCACAATCGCAAAAAACCTTCAAGTTTCCTGACTTACTACTTTCTAACATTGATTGAATTAATTTACTTGGCAATACGGAATAAAAAATGTTATCCAAGTTGAAGGCAATGCTTGTAGCAACGCATATTATGCCAGTTAAGAAGAATGTTAAATTCTGGTTACTTAGACAGATGATGCAAAGATGGATCATACTTCAAGCATCATTCAATAATCAAATGTTGGCAAAAAACGCACCTGCTTGGCTGTTCTGGATTTGCTGTTGCGTAGCAGATCCGGCTTGTGGTTGCTCCGGTTTCGATTCTGCCACAACTGGTCTTGCTACGGATGGGGCTGGCTTTGATTCGCTTGGTCTTGTTTGAGCTGCAGACGGCAAGGTAGAGGTTCCAGGCTGACTTTGCTGTGCCATTGGCTTGGTTAGGGTCACCGAAGCTAGTTGGTGATTTTCTTTTGAAGAACTGGAGCTGGCCTGTTTCGGTTGATTCAACAAAATCAAGTCAATTGGGTAGTTTTTGGCTGATGGAACCTTCTGTGGTGCGGGGGGTGGCGATGGTGCAACAACTGGAACAGATGCTGGTGCAGCAACTGGAACATATGCCGGTGCAGCAACTGGAACATATGCTGGTGCAGCAACTGGAACAGGTGCTGGGGCTGAAGCCAGTGCTGGGGCTGGCGCTGGTGCAATAGCTGGCGCCGGTGCCGGGGCTGGCGCCTGTGCAACAACTGCTTGAGCTGGCTTGGGAGTCAGGGGTGCCGTCAGAGGGCGCTTCTCCAGCTTTAAATCAAGTGTGTCAGTTACAGGTGCTAGCTCTGGTTTCTGCTTAGGCAATTTATCTTGCTGCGCTGCGTTGGTTGTGTCATATATATTCTGTGGAGGAGGGAAAAGGTACTGAACTTTCGAAGTTCCCGTTTTGATATCGTTGTTTGTCTTATTTGTGCTAGGCACGGCCGCGTTCTGGTAGTAAGCAGTGGCTTGTGGATACGATGGCAGCTGGCCTATCGGATATGTGGCTTGCACTTGGGAAGTTGATAAGTACCCATCCTTGTTCTGATTTCCCGTTACGGAAACCTTATACTGCGAAGGCTGCGCATTCGGCGGCATTGAGAGGCCAGCCACGACAGATGATCCAGCTGGCTGTGGAGTGTTTGAGGTATTGTTAACTGAACCTTGGGCTGCCTTCCGTGTTGGTGGGTATCTACTCACTCCATACCACGTGTCATTTTCGTGAGTCAAAATGGCATTGTCAGTCACGTGTTTATGCGCACCCTCTAAAATGAAAAGGTTATTTTAAAGTTTGCGTGCTTGCCTTTTAAACTTTTTGAAAAATAGAAAAAGGTGAATGAATGAAAGAATGAACGAATGAACAAATAAATGAATAAATAACCAAATGAATAAATGAACGAATGAATGAAGGAATAACATAGACGTTGCATTTTCTTAATAGTTCTGGTATAGCAAGGAACAGTGGAAATATACTGAGGTACTTTTTGTCAGACACTTTTCAGAGTATGAACATCGGATAGTGGTTGAATGTAAGATGAAAATTTGTATCCAGATGCGGACCAAAAGTGACGTGGGAAGAAGAAATAGCCTCTCACCTAGTTGGAGGTCCAAGAGAGAAAACGATATCTTAAAAGAAATACCTTATATAATATCTACATTTGTGACTTAACTAAAAAGAGAATATTTCGAAGCTTCTACCAACACACTTTCAAAATCTTATTAGACTCGTTTTACCTGGATGGGGCTCGTTCAGCGGCAAATTCTGTTTGGTAACAGTTGATTTCTTGTATCCATCTTGATCCGGATAGCCAGCAGGCATTTCGAATGGATTGACACCTAGCTTCGAATTCCCTGCCTGGTTCAGGCCCGCCGTTGTTTCGTATGATTTCGCCTCCTCGACCATACTGTCAGCAATAGGACGGTTATCTACGTATTCAGCACTCGGTCGTTGTACCTCGCTTTGATCTAAAAATCCTTGCTGTACTTGCATTGCCTCCTTTCCATTTCCATACTGGTCCGCCCCTCTTGAGGCTTCTTCATTTCCTTGTAACCATTGAAGAGCCCAGTTGAAGCATCGCTGTTCGCACTCTGATAAAACCTGTTATCTTGCTCAGCATTTTGGTCTTCAAACGATAATCTTGAAACTTCAGCTGAACCAGGATTATAAAACGCATTTTGTGGCATAATTTCTTGGCGCTTATTAACTTTCGTATATCTCTTTTTGCAAATTTTCTTGGCTTAGCTGATAATAAAAAAATTCTACCATAAGTTCTCCCAGAGAAAAATTTACCGGAAGTAACAGTGGGAGTAAATGCATGGGAGTCATGATATGCAGCAAACCCATAAAGGCAAAAACAATGAAAAATTCAGCGTCGTTTATTAATTATGCCTTCAATCAGGCAAGTACGCGAAAGGTCTTAGCAGGCTTACAAGCAAGAAATAGAAAGTGCAGCAATGAGTCCAGATGTCATTGCATATGACGTAGATCTAGTCACAGAAAACTAATTGTTAAAGAGAAAATTTAGAACAAAAATACTTACATAACCCATAGCCTAAAAGCAAAGTTGCAATGAACAATGTTGCAACATATGACAGGGGTGCCATGTTTCTTTATGGCTGGTTTTTGCTACTTGCTTTTGTCGACGTCACCCTGCAAGAAATCAAATCAAAAAGTCAAGTGGAGAAAGCTATGGCTTTCAGGTAAGAAAATGCTTTATACCAATTTTAATATAATACCAAGCACAATGAGAAAGGTGGGTCGCAGGTGTGATGCATTCCCTGCACTGGTACTTTGACGTTCTAGGTCAGACAGAAGAACGCGTTACGTAATCAGCTGTAATTTACTGTACATGCCATAAAATTTCTCTCTTCACATTAAAAAATTTATAGAATACACAGGAGCGCAGTGGTTGGGAGAGCACTAAATTTCGAGAAATTCGGAAATTTCCCAGTTTTGTCGGAATTTTTGCAAAATTTCCTTTTCTCCCCCTCTACCTTTTCTCTCACAACGTCACTTGGTTTCACTAGCTATCAAACTGAAATAGGTCCAATGTATTACCACAAAACCTGTTAAGTCTTGGCAATCAGAAAGGGCAGTCCTGGGTTCTTCACAACTATTCCTCTGTCTTAGAAACAAAATAAAAAACCCTCAAATAGATTTGGTGGCAAAAGTGGAAAAATGCTGCTTTCGATAGTTGAAAAATTTTCAAAGCGCCTTCAGCGGATTCAATTTTTCATTTGAATTATTAAAAAAACAAAGCCGAATTTATTTTGAACTATTTATATTTAAAATCTTTAATCCATTCTATCAGATATGGAAGGATGGGTGTTAAAGGAGAAACAAGACCTCTTTGGTATACAGCAATTTTTCTAGTGCAGAAAGTTCAAATGAGCAAAAATGCAACTTTCTATCATTACGGCGAATATTAAGCTCCAGCCTTTCTCCATGTGCATAAACCTTACTGTTTTTCGACACATAGATCTACTGTGCTTTATTCCTAACTTTTTTATGGAAATGGCAATGACTGACAATGTCTTTATCGGGTATTGCATTATCATGTACGCGAAGGCAGCTTCTTCAAGTGCCGTTCATAATAACAACAAGCGCTACATGTGTTTACATACACGTTTGATCGAATCCTAATATATAAACATATATTGTACATCGGGTTCCTTTCACTACAAAGCTACCTAATGAAACTATGACTGGGTACGCCGAGCTGATAAATGAATCTTGTTCCCCTAAGCAGTAATTATGAGTACTGTGCTAAAAACCCTTTGCAAGGCCATACGCAGAGTAAACAATTATCCAAGAAAGGCAGGAAAAGTCTGGCAGAAAGCAGTTGCCTAATGAATGCATTATATTCTCAGATCCTTTTTGCATAAGGAATTACAGCAAAAACGCTACAAACACGAAAAAAGCTACTTTGAAAAAACTTACCTTTTCAATCCAATGAACAGATAACCATCATAAACGAAGATAAATTTCTCCCTTCAAAAATGTAAATATCAATTCAGGTTAATTGAAGACGCTTTAATTGTGGAGAAAAAAATGAAGTTCGATGAACAATGAATTAGTGCTGAGAACGAGATGAATAGAAAGGATTGATCGATCAAGTAAAGGTACCCACTGGTCACTTGTAAAAGATCAATGAATGTTCAAAAGATCTCCAGACACCACTGCCTTCTACCAGGGGGAACGATATTGATTGTAACGCGACAGGTTCCTACGCAGCGGCTTTCAAAAAAGAGGTCTCCGAAGCGACCATCACTACACGGATGTCGCAGTGATCCTCTGCAAACATTAACTTATACTTTGTACAGGACAAAAAATCAAAGAAATAATTTGCTGATTTGTGTTTACATTCAAGGAGCGATGCCTTTAGCTGATTTGCAACAGCAGTAGCGATTTCACTACCGATATAGTAGTATCCATTCTTATCTTGTTAAATGGGAAAAGCCTCAGGTTGCAGTTTATTGCTAATGTTTTTGTAATATCACCTCTTATATGCCCGGTTATAATAAAATTGTGGATCCATATAAAGTCATTGAATAATTAGGTTTAAAATAGTTAAAAATAAAGGGATACTTTTTCTACCTTTTAACTACAATATAGGTCACTTTGATCTACATTTCGCTACAATTTGAAATGTTTTATTGAATGTTGCTACAGAAATGTTCAATTAGCAATATGTAAAACATTTTAAAGATGACGGCTTGCAAGGCTCAGTCCAGCTTTATTAGAGCAGCGCTTGATTAAAAAGTTGAAGATGAACCAATAATTAAATAATTAGATCACCCCGTGATATTTATTGTTTGGTGGTTGAGATCATAGGGATGACTAGCCCTGACAATGGAGTCACCAAAAACAACGATCAAAGTTATAAAGGCCACGGGACCTTTTGAATGTGATAAGCAGAGGCATAGCTCCTTCCCCGAGGAATTGCAGGTGGGATACGCAACTGTACTAACATCTATGCATCTACCGTGGCATCATTTTACTTTAGAGGTAAACTTCATACCGGGTTTCTATAGCAACAGACTCATTCAAGAGCTGCAATGATAAAGATTGTGATATGAGGTCGGAGCAAGTCAAAAGAAAAACGCAAATCCCTGGATTCAATTCTGTTTCTTTAGATCTTCACCAGAGGGTACTTTCAACCAAGTCAGTGGCGAACAAAAATTTATCGGGTTTGTATATTTAAGCAAAAGTAAGCAGAAGAAGGTTTGTAGATTTTTAGAAATAATGCCTAAAAATAACAGGGAAAAGAGCAGAGATTTAAATCCAAAAATAATATCGGCAACTGCAAGGCGTACGATAGACTTCTACCGGATCTACCTGGATGGTAAATGTCTAGATTAGGGCCAATAATATGCTTTCTCGTTGCAGTGCCTCAGGTCCCATTGTCTTTCAAGCCGTTTTATCAAAAGCCTTCATTGCATACTTTCACTTTATTTAGCAAAATCAACCAAATCAAAAAAAAGCAAGAACTCTTTCTGGAACGACGCTTTTAACGGCTTGCCCAATTTTTATCATTATGGGCATCACCAATAATATTAATGAAGATTTCAGTTTACCAGTCTCTTACATATTTCTCAATGGCTTCAAGGCAGATGTTTGGATAGCCTCGAGTTCAACACTTCATCTTAATATCATATGTGACCATGTTTATCACTGACATTACTCAGTTTATGATGATGTCATCAACATCAATGCTTCATTTATTGATTTACCTCATTTATTCGATAATAACAATAACAATAATTATGATTAAAGTGCATAATTATAATACAATATTCTATACAGTTTACAACTTAAAACCTATTACATAACATCATAAGCTAATTTTAATAAATGAGTCTTTAACGACGATTTAAAATTATCAAAATTGTCAACAGAACGAATTTCAAACGGAAGAAGGTTCCAAAGACTAGCTGCAGCATAGGCAAAAGTTCTAGCAGTTAAGCTGAATTCACACTGGACGCGTCACGGCGCGGCGCGTCACTGAGCGTCATCGAGCGTCGCGTCATGTACTTCTTCATGCTATTCACACACGATGCGTCATCGAGCGGCGCGTTTTCTGTTTTCCAATGCTGTTCACAGCAAACTTGCAAAATTATTGACAAGTTGTACTGTATTCCTTGCATTGCAAAGTCAAGCTGGACATTTAAGTTTCCTACAGAAACGAATGAAACGGTAATCTGAAGCTAAAATATCAAAAACAGCATCTTGGCCAAAAAATGAGGTATTCTAAGTCTCGTGCGGTTTCGTCGACATTTCGGTTCGAGAGGTTGGCCAATGTTTTGACAGGAAGACGATTCTCTTCAAGCATTCATTATAGAACCGAAATTTTTATTGATATTAAAGATTTGGAAGGTCTACTACAATTAGCAAAACGTTTGGCTTTACGGATTCATGGGGTTTCCCTTCCTGCCAAAATTCGAGGGAAAATTAAACAGCTTATTTTTATCAACACTCCCCAAAATTTCCATGTATTAAATCCCTCGGAAGTAAACCTTTGGAAGGTATTGAAAGCTTAACGGGGAGTGATTGAAATATTTTTTTACCAAAACGGAACAAACAATGACTCAATATCATTGTTGAATTGAACATCGACGAGGCAACTTTATATCATCGAAAAGACTCTAAACACGAATAACACTGTTACTTATCATAAACTAATAAATGTGATTTATTTTTGTCACTTTCAGAATTTAGCCCCCCGATGCTTTAATCAGAGAGACTCATCATAATATACTTCACCGTACAAGCAATACAGTTTTATAATGGCCTATTTCAGAAGCTCCTTGTTTACGTTTCTGGCTGTCATGTCGTCTGGCTCCTTGTTTATTCTCTAGGTTTTCTATTGTTCTGAAGCGTCACCGAGCGTCAAAGTTAAATAAATTTAACTTTGACGCTCGGTGACGCGTGGCTGAAAAAACGCGCTGCGTGCGCATAGCTGCCGAAAATGCTAACCATATTTGGTCAGCGTCATGACGCGCCGCGCCGTGACGCGTCCAGTGTGAATTAATGTTCTGTTCTTTAAACTAGGAACTTTAACAGCAGCGCATTACTCGATCTGAGAATTATGTGGGGCACATACCTCTCCACCATGTCCCGTAAATACACAGGTGCATTTCCTATCAAGCATTTGAAGGTAAGCAGGATAATTTTAAACCATATGCGTTGTTTGACTGGAAGCCAGTGCAGATCAAATAAGGCTGTACTTATATGGCCAAATTTAGGTAGTAGCAACACAACACGAGCAGCAGCATTTTGGACACGCTGCAGTCGCTCAATAAGATGCTTTGGCATGCAATAAAACAGAGAGTTACAGTAATCCAAGTTGCTAGTGATGAATGCATGAACAACAACAACAGTTGATCATGAGACGGTTAGCCAACATCCATTTCCTAACACCAGAAACACACATCTCCATGGCCTTAATAGACTCTCTCTCGGAAGCAGGCTCTGGTTTGAACCATATGTATAGCTGGTGATCGTCCACATTGCCATGAATATTTGGAAGGTGTTGACTAATGACATCATATAAAGAACTGATTTAAATAACAAACAGTACAGGCCCTAAACAGCTTCCCTGAGGTACCCCGCAGAAATTCAATTATATACCGCTTTTGTTTATAAGCCGTTCTCGATTATAAGCCGCAGAAAATTGGGTTCATAAAAAAATCTAAGCCGCCCTTAATTATAAGCCGCGCCCACAAAACGATGTAGAGATACTTGGTTTAAAATGAAGGACGCGAAATCTGATAAAAACTTGATTGTGTACTTAAGCCAATAAATAGATATTATAAGTTCAACCGACAATATCGTCCAGTATGGGATCATCAATAGCGCCCAGAAGTATTTCTTCCTTATCTTCCACATAATCATCCTCAGCTTTAAGGGAGCAGGAAAGCGTGGCAGGACTTGGGTAGAAAAATGTCAGCCTTCCTCGTTTATAAGCTGCCCTCGTTTACAAGCCGTCCTGGTTTATAAGCTATCTTTGTTTATAAGCCGTTCTCGTTTATAAGCCGCCCTCGTTTATAAGCCGCCCTCGTTTATAAGCCGCCCTCGTTTATAAGCCGCCCTCGTTTAAAAGCTGCCCTATTTTATAGCCGCCCTTGATTATAAGCTGCCCTATTTTATAAGCCGCCCTCGTTTATCAGCTGCCCTATTTTATAGCCGCCCTTGTTTATAAGCCGCCCTCGTTTAAAAGCTGCCCTATTTTATAGCCGCCCTTGTTTATAAGCTGCCCTATTTTATAAGCCGCCCTCGTTTATAAGCTGACCTATTTTTAAAGCTGTCCTCGTTTATAAGCCGCCCTCGTTTGTAAGCCGCCCTCGTTTGTAAGCCGCCCTTTTTTAGAAACCGCAGCAAAACGTGCCAAAAATAATTATTAGTCATAATCGAGCAAATACGGAATGCCTTTGAGTTTCTCTTGTGTAATTAAGAGGTAGTAATTGCAAAATATATGGTTAGAAACTTAAGTATCTGTCATTTTCCTAGCTAACACCATGCTAAAGAAGCAATTTTACGATGAGAAATCATAGATAAACCGAAATACTCAAGATCAGTCAGAAACCTCGTTGGCTCTTTACAAAAGGCTAAGCTAAGGAAGCTACATAAAAAGCTAAATATTAAGGGCGGCGATTATAAAAGGAAAATGTTGTGACGAGCATAATCCCCATTAAGAGAATGGGATTCCTAATGAGGACCCCTTCGAAAACTTGTGTCTTTTTATGTAGAATCGACTGATGTATAAACTTATATAAATTTTATAAGGTGCAACATGCTATTTAAAGTGTAATAATTTAAAGAGTTTTTTTGTCCACAACCATTAGAAATTGTCCGAAATTTTCTGAAAAAAGTCAATTTTTCTGCATTAAAAACAATGTAACCTCGATATTTTTACAGGCTAAAATAGCAGAATAACATAATGCACCATGAATGTTTTTGATCTAAAAATTCAATCTTGGTAAACACAAAGCTGATTATCTGCAAAACGAATAGAGTGTGTGCCTCTCAGGTTAACTAGAGACAACGAGCAGCGAGGATAAGTCCAAACTTCACTGGCTTCCCTTAGTGACGGGGTGTCATCTTACAAATTGTAAAGCTTTGGAAATTCCCTTTACGCAAGATATACCGGCGAATGAGATCACAGAAAAACCGGTGCAAAATCGGGCATACAAATTTGAAAATAAAATTGAAAATACCGTCCGTCGGAAGGTTCTTTGTAGTACTGGCCTTCCAGATCTTCTTAGAACATTTAAAAGCTCGATGTGGACATCACTTTAACGTACGCTGTTTGAGCGGGGATCCAGTATCTACTGAAGTCGAATTTTTTCTGTCCTTTCTGGCAGTGTGTTCTTTTAGTAAGCTGCGTTCACTGCTTTGCTAATAAGATAGCTTTTCTTTAAAGTTGGGGCCATTTTATATTTCTATATCTATATCCAAAAAATTTATCCTATCGGAGAGGAAATTAAATAGAAAAATACACTGCAGAGACATGCTTTGCCGCCTTTTTGGATTGCTGCTTCCTTTTCCCTCGTTCAGTTTACACTGAAACATTCCTATTTTTTCTAACTTTTTCAGGATGTTGGTGAAACTAAACAATATTATTCCATGACGCAAAATGAATTCTCCAAAAAGGCGTCAACATATTTATATATAATATTAACTTTCAAATGTGCAGAATCCCTTTAGTTAAATTATCAGCAAAATTTGGATTGCCTCTAAATTCACTGCTAAAAACCTTTTTAAAATGTAGTTAAATACATGGCTGTAAAAACTCATTACAGAATTGGTGAAAATATTTTTTTAAACAGGGCATTCTGCGGAAACTCTTCCTTGAGATCCACAGTGAGTATTACCATCGATGAAATTTGAGTGAGATCTTTAGAAGAAATTGAACGCTTACGTTTTTTTACACTTTATAAGTCAACTCAAGAATGCGTTAAGCTCTTCGTAGACAACGTCAATGAGAAATCGCAATAATGCTCTTTTGGGCATTCTACATTCAATTTTTCAAATGGAAGAAATATTGCAGATTATTTGCTATACAATTCAATATGTGGCAATCAGAAAATTGGAAATACTAAAAATTTATCCAGTTGCAATTTTGTCAATACAAATATATACTCTCCAGAGCTCATTCGTCGGCCATCAATCAATTTGGGAGTTTGACATTGACAAATACGGAATAAAAGGGTAACGACACAAACGTATATCATTATTAAATATTCGTACAAGCAGGCAATATCTTGGAGAAATCCTTTTATGTAAGATGAAATTTAAAATTTTCAACTATCCAGTATATATAGTGATGTAAAATTAGGCTTTCTAGACGATCCAGCTCATTGATGATAAATGTAGCTTGAAAACTTTGTTATGATATTATCATGGAAACTGTACCAGAAATAGCCGAGACATAATTAGGGAAAAAAGTTTGATGTATTTAGACTAAACCAAAGAAAAATTCATTCAACATGGCTCTCTATCCTCTGCCAAATTTCATAATAACCATTTACATTTATTTACATCAAACCTCTATTCGTTCCTTGCTCAAACCTTCATTTTTTAATAAATCAATCATTTCTTTCAGTCCTTCCTTTTGTGCATATTCCTAGAAGGAGATCCAGATGATATTGAATACACGAACCAAAACAAATAAATAAGACTGGGCAAACCAATGCAAAAGTCTTTATGAATGAATGAAAATAGCTGTTGAAAAAACAATGATTTCGAAAGACTATAGGATAATCGTAAGAAAGCAATGAAAAAGAGAAGGACTGAGAAAGATACAAAGAAAAACCTGCAGCTTCTAGTTTAACTTTCATGGACTGATTATCTTCATACTTTGAATTATTAGAACAATCTCTGTTGACTGATCACTTTATAGCATGATTCTTAGTGATCTTCTGTTGTGGACCTAACCCCTGATGATTTGCCATTAAATGTAAGTTTCCACTTTTAGCACAAATACGGCAAAAGGAAACGAACGCATCAGTGAATCGGAGAATGCAGCCAGTCACTCAGTCACTGAACCGAGTTAACCTAGCCAGCAAATGGTCGAGCATTTGCAGTGGAAGGTCAGAGGAAATCAAGTGGAGGCTGGCAGTCAGATAAAACTGAACAGCCAGAAACTGTGTCTCGTTTACTTCATCTGATCAAAGTAAAGATTTCTTGTGCACACCCACTTCAAATGAAAGTTTTTAATCGTCTAGATTATTGCCAATAATACAAAGGCCATGACTATTTGAACTTCTACATGAAATTGATTGCCTTTCAGTAACAAAGGACTAAAAGCGTAACTGTTATTTCAGAAAAGATATAGATACAAATTTCACTCTAATCTAAAAGAAGCAATTTCAATTCGATATGTACATAGGCTCTATTTGACATGACGATATAAGGTAATATGAGAAATAGGCCTACCAATACTATGTCATGAGAGTCAACATCATCACTACCGTGCTCCTTCGCGTGTTCAGTGTCAGGATGCAAAACGTGATGCAACCTCACAACATCAGCAGCGTCATCGAGGCTATGGGAGAAAATATCGCATATGTTAGCAGGAAATCATAACAGACAAATTATGATACCCAGGAATGGCAGAGGAAATATTTTTCAATTTATAAAATGTCACTGTTGGAGTAAATGTGATACGGGGATACCCAAATACCATTTATAGAGTTTAGCCTTGATTTGAAAGTGACAATGTTAAGCTAAAAGTGGTTGTTACATCGATTTTTGCAAGCATGCCTATCTTGTTACAGACACAGCTCATATAAGATACAATGGTGATCCTTGCCTTAAATTCTTTAATATGGTACAACGTAAACATCAATAGTTTTCTCTTATGGATTGCTCCATAGATTTGGAACAGTTTGACATTTTTGAAAATTCGTTATTCTTCCGTCCATTAAGGTGCTTACAACTAGGAAATACATTCTATTTGTCAATTTGAATCCAACATATCCTGTAATATATTGTGGCCAGTCTGTAATGATAGGATCTCAATACATAACCGATCAAAGTAACAGGATCATTGATCCGTTAACCATGACAATAGTTTAAAAAAAGGAAAAAACGATACAACGATAATGATGAATGATAAAACAAAATTTCAAATAGACCAAGTCCAGTTGTAAAAGCCAACAATGAATCATGAGTGGATAACACCTTTTCACCATGATACCGAGAATAGACATACCGATCTTCCCTCACCAGCCGCAGTATTAGCGCCTTTGCTCGCTTTTGGGTTACAAAGTAATAAACCATCCCACCATAATGCCTTGTTGACTCCAGCAAACTGTAGGCTTCTCTTTCTTCTAAGTCGTGGTACGTTCTTCTGTGAACCTAAAACAGGAAAAATGCTGTAATCCAATTCAGATCATTGGTTGATTAAAAAATACATGGAACAAGCGATATAATTTGAATTTCCTAATAGGAGGTGAGGGCTTTAAATGGGGACATTGGCAAAGTCCAAAAGTAAACAATCCATTGTAAAAAAGGGTCTACTTCCATCAAGGATGCACCCTACTTTGCATAAGAGTACCTAACCATGCCATAATTGTTGGAATTCAGTCTCTGCATAAACAATGACAATTGCCATGCTGTTGTATTATCCAGCTTGAAATCAGGCTCTTAACCCCTACAACAGATTCTTACCCTTAAATAATCAGGAGAGTCATCAGGACACTGGATGCTGACCAAATCAAGCACATCAGCGTGACGTAGTTGCTCAAAAACAACCTTTAGCAAGAAAGAAAGCAGAAATCAATTCAAGAAAATATATACTTGGGATATGGCATTTGCTTTCATGTGTGCAAACATTGCCATGCATGTTGCCATGCATGATGTCCCTTGTGACACAGCTCTTTTGGGCATTCTACATTCAATTTTTCAAATGGAAGAAATATTGCAGATTATTTGCTATACAATTCAATATGTGGCAACAAGAAGATAATTTGAATTGAATTATTGAGCAAACTTGGATAGATCTTTCTTTCTTGATTTATATGTTTTCATCATTCGTTGCTGCTATTTCCATCAGTTCATAAATGTTCATTTTGCAAGTCTTGTGGTGACAAAATGCAATAAGTACCAGTTTCAAATTGTGCTGGCCAAAAATCAAAAAGCAAATAGAAGGATGGTAAAGACTCCTTTGAAGGAACTTCTATTCGAAAAACAAATCTCTATTACGATTGAACAACTATTCAGTGCCACAAGTGAACAAGAGTTAAATGCTGATAATCAAAAGAATAACCCTATGAATCATAAAGAGATTTAGCACTCTTAAATGTACACTGTAGCAAGCAAGGTTGAGCAAGTCATAGAATAATAAGGCCTGTTCAATGAAAACTCCTGAAACAAAATCCCATTATCACAAACAGGCTGGAAGGAGATACAACCTGAAACTTCTAAGAGTTTTCAACTCTTTTGTTGCAAGCTCTGGAAAACCAAAAATTAACCATATTGGGAAACAAAAGATAAGGAAAAATGATTAAATTTTTTAGAAGTGACTAACATTTTCCCAATTTTCATTTACTGGTATTTTCTCTGATTTGTACACCCTTTTCTGCCCTCAAAAACTAACCATTTTTAGGTCATAGTTAGTTTAAAAGAAAATTTTCTTGTTAACCAAAATTGTTTTCTTGTTGAAAATTTAAATTTTAGTGTATGTGATTTATTTCAAATATTTTGGTTTGAGCAAAGTGACTCAATTTTTGAAAGTGATAAAGTTTCCCATCAACTAATTTTTTTCTTTGACTTATATATTTACCCTGATTTCTTTCTCCCAATAAGGTACTCAGCACATTTCTTACTCTTACTTCAACTGAGAGTTTTGAGAACTTATAGTACAAACATTCACGCATTGTGTTAGGCCACTCTTAAAAAGTACACAAACAGAACTTGCAATCCAAGTTACACATATAAAACAAGAATGTGAAACAATTGGGTTCAAAACATGAATGGGACTGAAGAAATAAAGAAAAACTCACTGGAAGATCCTGATCAGTAAGCATTTGTGGCAGCCGGTAACTTTGGCCTTTCTTAGGAAGATATAAATAATTCATTCTTTCTCTTTCCTCCCATGTTGCTTCCCTGAGAATGCCATTTGGTTCTCTGACAACAATACGCCTATTCTGCATGAAACGTTAGAGGATTGCTGGTTTTGATTTAACTTTAATATATCCACCAAAATCTAATAATTGGATTGTGATAACTGATATTTCTCAACAGACAACCCACAACAATAATTTAGGCACTTATTCTTGAAAATTTTGATAAGAGTTTCTTTGAATTACCCCTACGAATAGTTTATAATGGCATTTTAACCTGCAGTAATTTCAAAATAAACCTTAAATAAAATAAAATGAACAGGAAAAATATCTGAACAAAATTACCTAATAATGAACGATGAAAATTAAATTTGAATGATGAAAAAATATTTTTTTACCATCTCATTTTTGCTAGTGCTGATATCTGTGAAAATAAACTTAGACTCGTCATGACCTTCAATTTCAGGATCATTTTGGATAGCAAAATCTATTTCTTTCCTTTCAAATTTGACATCAGGCATCTGCAATCGTTTTAGTGCTTTTTCTCTTATATTCTTCTCTTCCTACAAACAACAGTTACCAAAATCAAACTTTGTACACTTGGATCTCTAATTATAGATGAGGAAGAGGGAAACCTGTGTATTCAGTCAAGGGGCAAACCATTTTTTGTGCACGTGTTTTCATAATGTTAACAGAAAAGCAAAAATGGCTAAGATACCATCTGCATCACGTTACAGATCTGCATTTAGCTAAGGAAAAAACAAAATTTCCAAGCTTGAATTTTGATTTATCTATTCTTCATCTGATTATTTGTGATAACACAAACAGTTAATACAAATGTACAAGCAAGTGCCAACCATATACAAATGAAAATGAAGCAGAATTTTGTTCCATTTATTTTCACACAAAACCAATGTACGATTTTCAGGAAATAAGTTCGAAATCACAATCATAAACACACAACAAACCTCACAGAGCTCTTCATCTGAAAGCAACTTATATGTAGGAACTTTGAGAGTCTCCTGTCGTGGTTTAAAAACTTTGTCAAGCTCGAGGCTCCTTTCTGTTAGTCGCGTGAGCAAATTTTGAACTTTTGAATCCCTAAATTTTGTATCTATTTCACCAGAAAACATCTCAGAGTTTGATTTTATCATCTCAGGAATTGAATTTGCCGATGAGATGAATCGGAAATTTCTGCATGTTTTAAGGCTCTGGGCAATCTTGTAGAACAGATCGCTCGCTCTCACATGCACCGCCATGTTTGATTTGAAGTGCCTAGTCTCTTTTTGACACTGGCCTCGTTCTTTGCAAAATTGCTCCTCCTGGGTCCGATTTTTATCCTTGCGGCCAAAAACTGTTCTCTTTTTGCCTTTCTGGTGTAAGACTTTAAAATTTTTACGTTTTCGATGTGCAAACAATTAATTTTGATACTTTGAGTTAACAACAAGGGGTGACAAAGTGGAAGTGTGAAAAATTCTAACCAGTTGGTCCCAGCACTTAGCAAATTTTAATAATTCAACATTGCATAATATATTTTTATAGAAGGGCATCCAGGTTTTGATTTTGATAGCTGGAAAAGAGGAATACAGGGGAAACTTGTTAGAGATATAAATTAAGTCTTACCTTATCACAGGGGCGTTGTGGCTAGGCGGCACACCGGGAGATTTCCCGGTGGGCCCCTTACAAGTGACTTTGCAAAACCCAGGAAAATATTTGAAGGGGAAAATTTTTTGGTAAAAAAATCCCTCATCTATGTAAAAACTCAAAGTTATGGACTAGAGCTTTGGAAACAAACTAAAGAATAAAAGGGCCAGTGAATGGGGTGCGTGAAATTTGAAAGACATGAAGGTCAAATAGAAAATGACCCGCTCGAATGAGGCTTGGGCGACCTGAGAGAAGGGCCTTTGATTTCGAGGTGAAAAAATTAGCCCTTCGAGGCCTATTAATTAGACAGTTTTTAATTGAGGCTTCTTTTTGGGAGCCTGTATGTAAAGGCGCTTATAAAAGCAGAAGAGGACTCAGCCTGGTGGCTAATCGATGTGGCTATTTAAGGGGTTGAAGTTAGCTCCTCTTATTGTCACTCCTCGTCAATTAACACTTCATTCCAAACATAAAAAGCTATTCAATTTATCCCGGTTTCGAGTCACGCTCTGCTTACAGTCACAACTTTTCATGTAACATTAAGTGTGACTTTAAAAGTCTTCTGTAGAGGATTTCCAGAACGCAAAGAGATAAAGCGAGGTCTAGCTGCATTTTTAGCCTCGAAGCTTCAAAAAAATCGAAGAGCTGCTTGCATATGATAGAAATGCCCTTTCAAAGATCTCCAGCTTAGCAAAAGTTGACCAAAAACTCTAAAAGAAGTGCTTTTGTTCAGGCACGTATCTTTTTTGAGCGTATCTTTCTTTAAAAAACAGTAGGAAATGAAACAAAAAGAGAACAAACAGTTTATATACTGTTTGATTATTTGATCTATTTACTAACTTTTTTAGGTATATTTCTATCATTTCTCTATTATTTACATTGATTCAGTAGACAACTTTCTATATCTGCATTTTCGATGTGTAAACATGGCCTACTTAAAATACTCGAGACAAAGAAGATGCACGTTTCTGTACAAGAAGTAAAATTCTCTCAATCAATACAACAGCTTCTTGTTATTCACATCTATATGCACTCTGAACCAAAGGTCAAAAGACATCTTTCTTTCCCCAACGTCTGTCATAACAAATTTATCTTAAATATCATCAACTAATGCTTTTTGAGAATCGTCGAATTGTCTATTCTGAGCGGTATAGTAATTTGTTAAATTTTAGTCTAGGGGATGCCTTTTTAGCCATTCTAGAAGGCTTAATTAAAAACAATTTCTTTCGCGTCGGACCCAACCATGGTGTCACTAAACTTGATTCTTAGACCCCCCCTCCCTGATTTAATTTGGTGGCGCCAACTCTGTTGTTGTGTCATTACTATTTATGCTATTCTTACCCAACTGCCCCGCTTGCACCAGTAGCAAAAATGTTTTTTTCTGGAAACAATGGACCCCTTTATGGATATTTTTCCCAAGCTCTCTTCTAGGAGCCACAACGCCCTTGTCTTATCAATATTAAGTCACAATTTGTTAACATAGAACCAATATCGAGCAAATATTGAAACCAATTCTTCGTTAACTGTCCTCTTCTTTGAAGCAGTTCAAGCTTTCAGCTCCTTAGTCGATATCGCGACCATATCGGTATCACCTCTGAGCATACCAGCCCAGGTCCAATAAAAAATCGAGCTTTATTACGAAAAAGACTTTCCGCCAAGTGATGTCATGATATCTAAACCCCTGAAGGGTGGGTATGGAGTATTTACTACTCGCCGAACTCTAGGTAGGATTGTACTGCACTGCGACGAGGAAGCATTTTCTGCACCCTCTGGTAAGAACACAGAAGCTGACCCTGGTATCGTTGCGAAAAAATACTAGAGTAATAAAGTCTTCAAAATGTCTTTGGAGTTTTCTTGGTGTAAAAGTGTTCAAGGATAACCGTAAAAAAACCAATAGAGAAGTAAAATCAAAAAAAGGATCCAACGTTTCATTTTTCTATATCACTCAAAAGTGCATACCAGAAATATAGCTAATGATACTACAAAGCCGAGTTGCTCAAGCATTCAAAAAAGTATTTCTAATTTCCTTTTCATTTTTCATTTCATTTTATAATATTTATACAGGTTAAAGGTTCATACATATATATATGTTTTTCAACCTGATCTGTTTAAAGATTAAAATAAGCACTAATACTACTAATAACAAAAGAAATTTACTAACCTAACCTAATTTACAATATTAGATAAAACTAAGGCTATAAAAAGAGAATGTAAAGATGAAATAAAAGTTGTCCACGACTATAGCTGTTCTTTGAAGGTTTTCAGGGAGGGGGCCAATTTAGTAGCTCTTTCTAGACTGTTCCACAGTTTTGGACCGCGATAAGAAAAAACCTTTTGGCCTTTTATCGTTTTTAGCAGCGGTATCTTAAGATCAGTTTCTGATGAACGCAGAAACCGTTCTCTATCATCCGAACATTTTGCAAATAATTTTCTCAAGCCTCAACAATTCCTCTATACATTTTGTTGAATATGTCAGATGAAAGATATTTCTTAGAATACTTAATAAGTCCAAGGGCTCGATTATCCTTGGTCTTGATAGTATCGATATGCTTGTCCCATTTGAGTTTACTGTCTATCTGAACACCTAAGTATCTTGTGTTGGTAATCATTTCAATGTCCTGATCACCTAATGAAAAAGATGGTGGAGCATCAGGCTGGCTTTCGATCTTACGGATGTTTGGACCAGAGCCTCTAACAATTGATTGCGTTTTCACAACGTTCAAGGAAAGATTGTTTGCATGCAACCAATCCTGTAGCTTCAAAAGATCTAAGTTTAGGTCATTTTGCAGGTCATCAATACTCTTTGAAGAGAGGGAAATGGCCGTGTCATCAGCATACATGCTGACATGAGATTTCTGCAAGAAAAAAGGCAAATCATTGATGTACATCAGGAACAAGAGTGGACCAAGACAAGAGCCTTGAGGAACTCCACAACCTAGTCCCCTGACATCAGAGGAGGTGCCATCTACCCTGCAGAATTGTTTACGGTTATCCAAGTATGATATGAACCAGTCATGTTCCAGGCAGGTCACTCCGTACATTTTCAGTTTTTTTCAGTAAGAATTTTATGATCAATCGTGTCCAAAGCCTTCCTCAAGTCAATAAAGATTAGACCAGCGTATTTTCCTTTATCTATATTCAGGTACCAATCATTGGTGCTAGCCAGAAGGGCTGTGGCTACCGAGAGTAAGAGTCGAAAACCAGACTGATGCTCATATAGTGATTTATTTGCATCCAGGTATTCATAAAACTGATTGAAAATTAATTTCTCAAATAGCCCAGATATGAAAAGGAAGAACTGATATTGGTCTATAGCTCGACCTGTCATCCTTTGCGCCACTCTTGAAGATGGGTGCAATACGCGCTATTTTCCAGTCCTCCGGAAATTTTCCTGCAAACAATGATTTATTGAAGAGATCACACAAGGACCCACCAACAACTGGCAAAGCAATCTTCAAATAAAAGCTCACAATGCCATCGTGACCGGAACCATGCGATGTCTTCATCTTATTCAAGGTTGATGATAATTTATCTGCCATGATGGCCGAAAAAGAAAAACTTAATGGAGGAGTTTCAAACGGGTATTCACCAGACAATAGTGGATTGGCTTTCTTTGGAATTTCCTCACTAAGTTTATTCCCAATGCTGCAGAAGTACTCATTCATTGAAGATGCAATTGCTTTGTTACCCCTAATTGTTTGCCCGTCTACAGTAAGGTTAGGCACAACTGTAGTGTTCGACTTTTTGTTAATGACTTGGTTGATGGTTTTCCAAGTTTTCTTGAGGTCACCTTGAAACTGCGTGATTTTTTCAGAGAAACACTCACGTTTAAGTTTTGTTTTCAAGTTATTTAACCTGTTACGAATTTGCCTGTCGGACTCCATCAACAATTTTGAGTTGCTTTTTACAGTTCGAGTTTTTAACTTATCTCTCGTTTTAGCCAATTTGAAATAATCAGCATTCAGCCAAGGCGTATATCGATCAGACACGCGTCTTCTTAATGTAGGCGCATGCTTTTCTAGAATAAGCGAAAATATTTTGGTCCACTTGCGTACTGCATCATCAATGTCTTGAGCATCTGCTATGAATGCTTCCCAATCAACCTCAGAGAGATCTGAGAGGAAAGCCTCTGGTTGAAATTCTTGAACTGACGAGATGTAATATATTTGTGCTGCAGCCGATCAACAAAAGCGAACTGGGCTGGGGTGCTACAGTAGGGTGATGATTTTATGTTCTCTAGAACGAATAAGTCCGTGAAATTAACATCTAAGCGGACAATAAACTAAATATTATAGCAAGACCTTTGAAAATACATTAGTCCAGCACACCGATGTTTTCTTGCTCGTGTCGCTTATGCCGAACAGCGTGCAATAAATACAAGGCTTGGCAATGAAAAGGCGATGGCGATGGTTCCAGATAGGAAAGCCCATAGATCAACAGCCTGTTTCGAGGAATTAGCCAGAAATAGGTTTGATGTTTCATGCCGATTTGACAAAGAGAAGGTGGCTGTGACCTCGAACATTGCGGACCACACTCACTTAGATTTGACCAGAAAAAACTTGGAATGAATGACATGAATAAATCACAAGCAACTACAACAACATAGATGAAAACCAGTTAATAAATAACAACGGAGATTTTCATTTCGTTACTTACTGATTCAATTCAAGCAACTAGAGGTACCTATAAATCATGTTTATTTTGGAAATGGGTTCCTCCAGATTGGGGGTACAGCCAATGGCTAACATGGGCACCACAAGTGAGATAAAACTACATAAATCTCCTATAATTGTCAAAGTGACTGACATTTCCCAATCGATATGCGTCTCAACCACCGCTATTTGGAAGCTAATCCTAGAAAAAAACTCCTTATAATCTCCGTATTATATCGAAATAAGAGTAACTTCGCATGGTTTTAACCGCCACTTGGCTTTCTCTTGGGTTCCAAATGTGTACAAATTTGAAATCTACCTTAAAAGTAAAAGCGGGGGCGGGCAGTTAGTTATTCTAGTTAGCCGTTTTTCGGACATTGGGACGGTGCGTTACAAATATCCTTACAATACACAGGAAATTATCAATGCGTACTAATACAACTCAAGTCAATAAACTCAAATCAAACTGAATTTTTTCTTGTAGCAAATAAAAGAGAAAAATAGAATTTGTCGTCGATGACAAAATACATTTGTAGTACAATAATAAAACAAACTGAAAAAGTTTTTAATATATTAATCACGGAAACTGATATTTAATAACGCGTGGTCGACATTTTGGAAACATAATATATGTTCTACATAATAAACAAAATTTTCTTTGACAAAAACCATAATTAAGATGTGAAATACTGAATTAATGCATCAAATTTGTAGTGATTGGTTAACGCTTTTAAATTGTGTTGGAAGACACGAACGAGGCTCTAACAGGGAAAAAAGGACTTGTCAGTTTTCAGAAATCAAATCACAAAACGATTACGTAAAAAAATTGGGAGCTCATGCTAAAGCCCAAATGGTGTGAAACATTTTTCAAGAGATAGCAATAATCGCATCATTACCGATATATCTCTGTATTATCAATTAGAATGGCAGCCATTTCAGCTGTGGAAATAAGCAAGGCTGTAATGGTAAACAAACCCTTTACTCTTTTAATATGTTTTGAATGTCACTAGTACTAGTCTCGCATTATTAGAAAACTACATGCTTTCCACTTCATTTTGAACCGGTATGCAAAATAAGAGCTCAAGAGAAATCGTTGATGCATCTAAAGCTACAAAATATATACCTAACAAAAAACAAAAATATACAAAAATAATTTAGATTGATACTTAAAACTAATAAATCATTATTGGCAAATTCAGAAACAGTGACGCACGTGTAAATAGATTTAAAGGGCTTTATGCCACGGTGCATTTCTACTGCTCAAAGAAATTTCCCAAAATCCATAAGTTTTTACTATGTACAAGTATCATAGACTATACTCTCGACAAATTGGTATCTAACTCTATATGTAAAAACGCTTGACACGCTGAACCTTTGAAAAACCAGTCAAGCGTCGCATGGCAAATTCTTAAGAGTTATCTTGCTTTAATGTGTTATCTCTGTCCATAGAAAAATGAGTTGGCCATCGGACGCGAATTTGTTGGTGCACTTCTATACAGTGACTTCACTGCGTATCGATGTCGACTTATCGATGTTATATAGAACACTAGCCGCATCTTCTCTTGGTATCTCAACAATAATTTTATAAAGGTCTCTTACTGTTGCGTTTGGTTTACGCGTGCACCAATCCATTAGCACTGTCTCCGTAAAGTCGTTGGTGGATCTAAGCTTCCAGTTCTCTATGTCAGTTTGAGTGTATCCCATTTTCCCAGCAAGGGTTTGCCAATCCTTGTACTGCTGAGAAGGGTTTAAAAGTTTCCCCAGGTCTTGGTATACAGACGCTGGCAGTGAATTGACCAGAACATCAGGGTCTGTAAAGCAGAAAATGATATATTGAAATCCCCATAAATCATGTTCGTTATTTGACCAATATTACAAGCGGGCGGTATAAGCCAATCAGTTATTTGATTCATAAATCACTGTAGAGTTATCAAGCAGAGAATAGCTCTCGTGAACAAATGAAACAAAGAACATACTTTTCAGAACTCTGTACGAAGATCCACTGTAATTGTCTGAACTCAGTAGACTACCTGAAAGGAGAGCTGCATGTATTATTTTCAGTGATTCAAAGATGGGTTATTGGACGAGGTATAGGTAGTCAAGGCGAGGGCAATGTTTAGCATTGATCATTGTATAAAAATAGTTGAAATGAACTTCAGGAAAACCACTGCTTAACAGAGGTAATACAGGAATGCAAATAAATAAATACCTAAAATGACCAAATACCAATGCCAAAACTCACTTTGTATAGAGTCTCTATCTTCTTTTGATTTCTTCCATTTTTCTTCCAGACTGGAATAAGATGACCCTAGCATGCAAAAATTTAATAGATGTAGATACTTCTGAAATAACGATATCTCATTTTATAGCTAATAAATAGTACAGTTCTCAAGAGAAAACTGACTGAAACACATCGAAACAGAAACACATCCAAATTTTCACATGCATTTTAAGACAAAGGTCACTGGTTAACAGGTGAAATGTGAAAGTCACTTTAAAAAGATTCAGCCAGTATTAGCTTTCATATATTAGCTTTCTGTACTCACTTTCGATTTTAAAACGATCTCTTCTCCATCGAGTATCTCCATCGAGACTTGAAAACGAGGACCCTGGGCAAAATATTGCAATATTTCAGTTCTTTTAATCGACATATAACTCTAATCTAGTGAAATTATTGTATAGGGTACTAAGAATATGAAAAAATAACAAAAAAGAAGAGTAAAATATCGATAATTTTACCATCACAGAGAGCAGCGTCTGATGCCTGAGAAGCATCTGTATCATGGTACTGTTGAGAAACGTAATCACGGTACGGTTGAGGTGGTGCTTGCTGGCATAGACTTCCTCTCGTCCGATAGAATGCCCAAATCAATAACACCATCACAAGAACAAAACAAATACCAAGTGCCACTATAATCCATATATATGTTGAATGGTCCTTTCGCACCTTTTTTACTGCAAAAATTGTAACAAATTTCTTTTAAAATACACAGAAAAAGCTTATCTGAAGGCTACGAGACTGCAACCCATTTATGTCTACACGACAAATAATAATGGATCATCAAGAGGTCATTATTGCTTCTCGTTTTCGTGTGGTCACTCAACAGCTTATTAACTATAGGTAAGCCACACAAAAATGGAACTTTATAACAACCGCCATGCCGACCGCATGTAAAGATCTTATCATAAATTTGTAGAGTTGCGTGCATATTGGCTAATTATGTGGATTTAACAGTTTTCAGTGTTTCTAAACTGTTAGATTTCTGTACTTCCTCCACCCCTAATTAACAGAAGGGCTAGGAACCGCAAATTTCAAGCCAAGGAAAAAATTTTACATGGTTCATTTCAGTTCAGCTTTTTTAAATTCAACTGTATACATACATCCACGTTTAAAAAGTATAAAGAATGTAAAAGGAAGTTTAAAAATAAAAAACATTACAGAACAAATATAGAGTAGAAAAACAAGCCAGTATTTTACACAGGGTATTAGTTAAAGGTGAACTGACACGCAAAATTAACTTAACCTCAAATGAAAGCTTAACGAACATAAATATCTGAGACGTTATCATTTTTTTAATAGTCGACACAGTTTTCAATTATTGAGCGTCAAAGTTTGCCACCGAACATTTTCCGAGCACATGTAAGTTTGCCCGAGTCTTCCGCATAATTGTGACGTCACAAACACCGAAGGAAGCAAAAAATAAAGTTTCCATGCATCGTTTTCTGCATTATATCAAAAAATAGTTTTAACTAAACGAGGAGAGGGCAACCCCTAGCAAATAAGATGCCTTTTTCATAATATGTAGTACTTAATTTGATTTGTTTCATTTTACTGAGTAAACCGACACTTTGTTCATAAATCTAGCTGCAAGGCACTTTGTTGTCATATTTTAAACTCTGATTGGTCAATATAGTATGGAGAATTGACAATTTTGATCTCTAAGCCTATGCTGATGTGAAACCTATGTTGGCTTATTCTATATTTCCAAAAAAGCCATTTACCTCTCTCCTTTGCAAGGCATACTGCATCATGTGTTTTGTTACACACTGATTTCCGAATTTCATTTACTCTGCATTTGGTGCATGGAGTGCAGTGGCGATTACTATCAAGTCTTGAAAATGTCCCCTGGGAAAAGAATCAATAAAACAGACAATGAATCAATAAATCAAAAGAACAATCACTGCCAAAAGTCTTGGAAGTCATGTGACTGTCAAATGTTTTGAGCTGAAAGTAGAATTATTCAGGAAAAATAGGAAAACACAGCACAAAATAATGGGTGTTTTGAGTTATTTTGAAGGCACTGTAGCTTTGACAACGTTATCTTTGATGTTATCTTTTTGCTACAGTATAACTTCCTCGGACATAAAGAACATACTGATTCAGAAATTTGAAACAATTACTTGAATTTAAATATTTTAATTTAAGAAGAATTCATTTTATTGAGAAAACCATTTATTCAACAGAGCTAAAACACCAATTAAAACACCAATATGCTATCTTTGCAGAGTAGCCATTTACGTTTCTCCTTGGCAATGCATAATGCATCATATGTTTTGTTACACATTGATACACCACCAAATATTGAAGGTTATTTAACAAATTCAATGAATTTTGGACTTAAACTAAAGAATATGTATAATTTATAATAGTCTATGCAGTGGCAGACACTCGGAAGTTCCAACCTAAGAAGATTGAAAATCAGGATATTTCTGATCATATATCAAAATCCCCATAGCTAGAGCAAACAAACAAAACTTATGAAAAATAAATTCTGATTGGTTGAAAGGCCAAAATTTTAAACAATCATCTGATTGACAAACAAAATGTATCATTCCTCATTGAAAAAGGGCTGCTAATTTTTTGCATCCCAGATAAGCTGACAAACCTCACAGATGGTCATTCTTTACTTGCACAATATGTTTTTCGTAATTGAATTTTAGAACAGATATATAAAAAAGTTCAAAAAGCCCAAGTGTCAAAAGGCTCAAACTCTCCCAATTTTGGAGGGAATCTTTCTTTTTAGGAGTTCATCTCCTGTTCTCCCAATTTCAAATCTAACCACTCATTTTCAGGAATTTTTTTATATATCTGTTATCAGGATATTTCTGATTATATATCAAAATCCCCATAGCTAGAGCAACAAACAAAACTTATGAAAAATAAATTCTGATTGGTTGAAAGGCCAAAATTTTAAACAATCATCTGATTGACAAACAAAATGTATCATTCCTCATTGAAAAAGGGCTGCTAATTTTTTGCATCCCAGATAAGCTGACAAACCTCACAGATGGTCATTCTTTACTTGCACAATATGTTTTTCGTAATTGAATTTTAGAACTGATATATAAAAAAATTCCTGAAAATGAGTGGTTAGATTTGAAATTGGGAGAACAGGAGCTGAACTCCTAAAAAGAGAGATTCCCTCCAAAATTGGGAGAGTTTGAGCCTTTTGACACTTGGTCAAATATTGGGGGCAAGCCTATTGCTTTGACAAGATGAAGTCATATTTTTCAAGTGTTTAAGAATAAAAGTCCATTATCATGTGGGGATGGAGGGGTGATCCGTCCAAAATGGCATTCTCACAGATGTTTATTGGCAGAGAAGTTACCAGACACTCTTAAGCTAGGCCTGCTCAGGTTGCCCTTCCCCTAAATAAGCCATCTTGGCTATGTTTCTGTAAAAATGTGTGTACAGGAAATAACATCATGTGGCAACCTCTTTAACTCACCTTTGAGCATCTTTCACAGACTGTGTTTGTATCACCGTTGCATGGGCACCTCACTCCTTCACCGACTCTACACAATCTGCATGTCTGGCATAACTGTTTGTTATGATTAAAGTATGTGCCATTATGACACATTGTGATATTTTTTGTGCTCTCTGGGCAATTTTCTGTTTGTATTCCAGAGATCAAAATCTGAAAACAAAACAAATTTGAACATGAAAAGGAGTATTCAAATGATACTTGCTACTGAAGTGTCTGCATTTATTGACAATAAAATAGCTAAGCATTTGGAAAGTTGTTCATTAATGTGTCTAATCATACTTTCGCTGGTAATATAACTCTTGTTTTAAACAGGTTCTGTCTGTCTGGTGAACTACTCTGTCTGGTGTTATCAGAGTGCAATGTTACTTTGATTTTTGCTCACACTTTGCAGTACCCTATTTTTTATCTGCCATTCATTGTATCATCATTCATTGTAGTTCATCATCATTTTATGGTGTGTGTAAGCTAAAGTATTATTTGTTTTTTTTGTTTTACTCATTTCTATTAACTTTGCTTTGTCACTACTTGAAACTTTGTTTCTTTTTGTGTATTTTCTTCATTAATTGATTATTATTGAACAAAAACAAGTATTTACCTAAGATATGTTGCAGAAAGGTAAATCTTTGTTTAGTTAAAGATTCAACAAGATGGTAACTGAAGGTTCTTCATAGGTTTTCAATCTTCTCTCTACACTACACCAATCTTAATTAATACAAAGAAAAAGCAACCACACAGACTTGCAAAAATAGATTTCCTACTGTGAAAAAATATTTTTCACACATTCGAGTCAGATTTTACCAATATGTAATAAAAAGTACTGATCTCATTCAATCGATTTTTAAGCAACCAAATAAGTTTTCCACAGTAAGATGCCTACCCTGTCTATTTCTAAAAACCTGCATGACTAAAATACTGCTAGGGGTGGTTCTTTCATAGCAGGAATGGCAAATAAGATTAAATAAGCCTTTAATTCAAATTTGTGGTGAATTATCTTTGTTATTTCTCAAGAGGACATCTCTTTACTGCAGTGCTAATACTGACCACTGGTTTTAGGCTTAGAAGCATTTTGATAAATTAAACCAAAGCATTATAAATAATACAAAACAGGCATGGCTGTTTGTGAATTGCTCCCCTCGTGTGCTCAGCCAAGCTAAAAACAAACTCCTTCTGTCTAGACAATACCGGCATTTTCATGCTTATGTAGAATAGATAGATTCCAAAACTGCTAGATAGAATGATAATCAGGGTCTACCAATAATCTGAAAAATGCTGCCATTATAGTTTTTCATGCAATCTGGGTTCTTCAGTAAGTGCTGCTTGATAGTGGCATTGCATGTCATTTTGGATCTGCAAGACCCAGTAGGCTGTTCTCTTTGAGAGACAGTTTTGTTTCTTATGCTGGAAGGGACCTGCTGTTTTATTCTATCCCCCAATCAACAACCTTAGGTGGCGAGAGGAGCCTGGAGGTGAGCGCGAGCTATCGCCTCAAACGTCCAAGACTGACAAATTCTCTTCAGTAACTTTGAGCGAAGGCAGCACACACAGAAAAAGTGTCTAGTCTACAATAGTCTACTTAATTTGGATGTAGTCTGCTGGAAATCCTGCTCTAGTTATCATTTGTAATGAAAGAAATAATATCTTTATCGAATTTATTTACTCAAAAGTTCAAAAAACCTTTAACAACATATTCCTAAATCTATGACATTTTGGTTGATGCAATCTAATGCAGTGTTATTAACATCTGGGGAATGGTTCCAGGTTAGCTATTCATAGACATATGAAAATAGAAATAAAGGAGGGCTACTTGTTTTTTAATAGTTAAGGAAAGCAATCTACCCTTTAACATTTGAAGGGAGCCTGGAGGGGAGCAAGAGCTATAGCTCTCCTCAAGTTGCCAGGCCTAGGGATGGTTCTTTGATAGTAAAGGTACCTAGGGATGTGCTTTGAGCAAGGGTATACTTTTTATAATACTAGTATAAAAGATACCTTTAATTTGTAATTTTGGTCCAGCCAAGGCCTAGCCAAGGGGATCATATCTGACAATTACTGTTCTTGGGAACAGCCTTTGAAAGTAGGAATTTTATCCTGAGAACCCATTTTTGTTGATATTAAAATAGTAAATGAAAGAAAAGATATAGGACATTTCCAAGTTCAAACCAACACGTTTGTGATATCTCCTATTTCAAATTGCTTGGAAAGGAGTCTAGCCAAGGGAATCATTCTTTCAAGACCCCCATAACAAATTAAACCAAGAACCCCTCCTGCGGTTACTTGAGTGAAGATCCCTTATAAGGATGCTGATTATAAGTTCATGAAATCTGATTACAATATTTCACACAAATAAATTCAAATATGGTCAAGGCCAATGTCACTAGATAATATTTTTTATTAATCTTTATGTGCGTGAGCATTTGCTGAATTTAAAGGGAACTCACAAAGGAAAATAATAGCATATTTTTAATTAGATACCAGATTACTGAGTCTAAATTATAAGATTATACCATATTTCTTGAAAAAAGGCATCATAAACATCCCTCCACTCGATGTGACCATGTAGTGATTCAACTTAGGCCACTGAGTTACTTTTGTACAATCTATCATTGATTTTTCTACATACCTACCCAATTCTATATGCATTATTCTCTATGCTAATTACACTTTATTTTTAACCTAGTTCATCACATCACTGTTAGCCACCAAGCACATCTTTCTCTTTGTATATCACTCAATTAAGTTTGCCAGTTTTTTAAAATAACAATATGCACTTTCATAAATATTATAATCAGTCAGCTGAAATCATGTTATACACTGCACAAACAATTTGTATCTCTCTGGCGCTGTGTCTATTGCACGTTCAAAAAATTCACTGGTTGGAAACAGCAGATTAGTTGTTTAATGGAAATTTCAGTCAATCATCAATTGATGTTCTGATGAACACTAAAACCACACCTCCTGATTCCTATGCCTGGAATTACAGAGAGCTGGCAACTCTCCTCAGTCTGAGGGAAAGTTTGGTCATGTCAGAGACACAAACCCAGGATCCTTGGGTCTGCAGTCAACTAGCCACTGAGCCATCCTTGCACCTACCATTAAAATTTGTGACTTTCAGACAAAAAGTGAAACTAGTAATTCTCATTTTTCATATTTTAATAAATTGATTTGTAGCATTTATAACTGGCAGTCCTGATGAAACCTGGACACATAGACCTAGTTGGCCGTTTGTTGCAAATTTTCGCCACACAAATTATCCCACTTGTATTAAAGCATACATAGGCTTTAGTTGGTGTCATATAAAGTGTACGCTAGCTGGGACAAAAAGGCTTATTGACGATCCCATATAAACAGGTGCAGCCGATCCTTGGCAGTGTTGCAATGCGCTGGATTCCATAAGTTATGAAAAAATTGCGGAAACTAAATTTTTGCGACTGCTGTCGAACGCTGTACGAACAAAGCACTTAAATTTTTTTGCAGTCAAACAATACAGATAGCCTTTTCTATGGATGCAATCGGCAACTGAGTTTGCAACTGCTTCCTTTGTTCAAATCTATCAGTGAGACAGCTGAGTGTTTCTTGTTCTAACGTCTGCCTTAAACATGGCAGCTTAATCTTTGAAGTGCGGGACGTGTTGGGTCCTGTCTGCACAGAGAGATCACTCAATGAAATATAATCCATTCACAGTGCACAATCTTAGCATAGAACAAGATCATGAAATTTATCAATCAAAGCTAAATTTCAATGTGAGACTATGGCTGAGAAGACATTAGGCCTGTTAACATTAGGCCTGTTTTAATCACAGACAGGCAACGGCTTTGATTTCAGCTGCTTTGGTGTCTATGATTCCCCTAATAGCTGGAACGGTAAATTACACACTAAATAAAATTTACTTACATTTACTGTCAAAATCACAAGGCAGTTGAACCAGTCCATGGTGACCAAGATCCGATGTGCAAAACTGCGAAGAACTCCTTACAAAAAATTTAATAATAGATGTGCTCCATCGCAGCGCAGATTTTCATAAACTTACCCACCTGCAAATCTTAATTGCGTAATCTAAAACTTATTCAGTCGGTAACATGGAATAAAAAAGTCAGTTTTTCCTGAGATTCTGGCCCACCACCGTATTATTCCCTGTTCTGCTTGTGGGAGACAAATTCTTGGAGGCCGTAAGGAAATGGCTATAAACAGGGGCGGACTGGCTAATTATTTTGGCCCGGGCAAATTTTGATCAAACCGGCCCACAATAATAGCAAAAAAAAAACTCCTCGGAAAATACAAGTAAATGTTAGTCTGTAATGAAAACAAGTTTTTAAATTCAGTAATTTTGTTTATGGATGAATGCTGGTTAACAGAATATGGTTAACGGAACATGTTAAATATGTCATATGCTGACTAAACAGTAAATAAAAAAAATTGTAACTTCTTGGTTTGACTCTGATTCTAAATACAGGAACTTATATGTTGATAATGCTATCGTTCTGGATGTCATTTAACAGGTGCTTTTCTAAGAACATTAACATGAAGGACTCCAGGTTTGGCTGCGAAAAATTACTACGTAACCTGTTCTTTATTTATTTAAAGTGGAAAGGCTTCTATCACACTCCACTTGTGACAAATAATTTTCTAATCCTCCGGAAAACCACAATGATTTTCAGCAACCCAAAAATATCAATTTGTCAATTTCTGACCCCAAAAAGAAAACATGGGCACCCCTGTTGAAATTTTATCGTGTAGCACCTTACCATACTGTTGGGCAGGGGGTGCATTTGACTTATGATAGTTGGGCCTAATAAACTTTCCATAACTTGTTTTAGTTTATTGAAAGGAGCAAGAGCAAGACCCTGCTGTTTTTTGTGATGTTTGTGGCTTTTGCTTGATAAAAAATCTTTGTATCGTAGCTGAATCCTTTTTTTAAGTCTCGCAGCTATTCCTCGCGAAATTTCTATGCACCACCTTTGATTGAAGTCTTCTTGCTCTTCCTCGTTCTACGTATGTCCTCTTTATTGCTCCAAATCAAAGAGCAAATCGCTTAGTGAACTCTAATAACTTTTAAATTTATTACATTTAGCAATAGCTTGTGCTCAGGCAAAAACATGACCAGCTTCAAGCAAAAGCTAAGTAAGAAGACATCAAGGCAGGTTAAAATCTTATGTATCGCCTTGAAACAGGGGTGTTACAGTATAGTATGTCGCCAATAAGAAAATACCATCAAGAGAAAATATAACAATAACATGTTTCCTGAAGAAGTGTGTCTGGGCTGAATGAATTCATAATGAATTCATAATTTTAATGGTTCTCGAGTACTTGCATGTATATTTATTATTTCCCACAATTCAAATTCAAGTGTCTCTGAAAATTCAAGGCAAACAGATCAACGCGTGGGTATACTTTTTAAGCTAATTTATTTTTTTGCACTTTTATCAGCCGGCCCTCAAACCGACCGGCCCTTCGGGCGATCGCCCGAATAGCCCGACCAGCCAGTCCGCCCCTGGCTATAAAAGTTTCCAAGCGAGACGTCATAATTAATCTATTTTTAGAATTCTTGACTTTTGAACACATGGAGAACACCATCTAATAATACTTCTGTATATGCGCAATCAGCACAGTATCTTAAAAACTTGGTGAGGTAAGGGCAGTGAATTTGAAGTTTGCTAACGGAATCCTGTTAATTTTTCTTGATTCGTATGGTGTTAAAAAGGTAGCACGTGTTGCCTTCATCATTAATGGGAAACGAAGAAGTATCGATTCACTGTCCTGCCCGTAGTTTTAAGCTCAGGTGATCTACTTCATTAATTTGCCGCCCAGGGGTGTGCCCGGGTAAGGTAAAAATGAAGGCAACAAAACAGAATCCCTCTTTTGACAACAAAGGCAAGAATGCAGCAGAAATGGCATTTGCTGTTTGGCTGAGTCAAAGAATATTCGCGTTTTACAAATAGTGACTTTGGCTATTCTGTGGTTGTTTCGTGTGTGTTGACATTGTTAGTTTGAGTAGACGGATTGTTGCACTACTCTACCTACTTTCCAAAAAATATTTGAGGATAGATATTATCAAGAGACATTGCATTTTTCATCATATACGCACAGATACTTATCTGGTACGGCGAGACATTCAAGAAACTAAAGCATTGGGCTGGTAGAAAGTTTCTTGAATATTTTGACCATTCTCTTAACATTAATTCTTAATAGCGAGAAGTAAAAAAAACGTGAATTGAAAAATCTGGGTGTGCGCTTTACTGAGAAAGATGCATGTCAAATGTATAGTGGCAGGAAACAACTGCGATCAACGTGAGAACTGTTGAGCAAGATTGGAAAAATCTAACCGCAAATTTCAAAATTATCTCTCCTTCGATATTCAGGTAGCAGTGCTTCCTAACTAATGATACACTGTGCCTACTTTTGGTTATGAGCTGCTTCTCATAAAGATATAAATACATTTGAGTTGGTGACAAGCCTTGGTCCTGAACTGAAGTCACTGTCTTGTGTGCAGGGGCGTAGCTAGAGAGGGTGTAGGGGTTGAAATACCCCAATATTTTATGAGCTAGTCATTAAATCTTCAGGTGGATCAGGAAATCCTTAGATTGTCGGTAAAACCATCTATGGATAGGTAAAATAGCCCATCAATTTTTCGTCACCTATTTCTTCGTTGGTAAATTTCACTACTGATGACCCTCCATGCCCCTAATCTCGAAGGTGAAGCTACGCCACTGCTTTCGTGTATTTGTACTGGAAGATAATATGTTTCATTCAAACGTTGAATAAGTTGCATTTCTGGATGATTAAACAAAACTAATTTTTAGAGGAATTTAGACAACCAAGCTCTTGCAAAATACCTTTTTAGTGAAGTAACTTTTCTGATTCCCGAGAAAAAGTTCTTTAATAAACCACACACAGTTTATCTCCAATTTCAGCTGATTTTTATGGAATTTTTGCTCTGCATACATTTTGCTGTGGATGTCAAGTGAACTGTTGGCTCCATTGTTGTCCATTCAATTGAGTTTTACGCCAAGAAGGGGCTAACTTTCCATATGAATTAACATATTGTATTCTAAATAACGGTAATTTTAGGCGAACCGTTGGTTTCTTGTATCTTTTTAAGGACAGATTTTTTTCAGAATTTTTTTCCAAGACACATTTTTCAGAGTTTTATCACAGGGCAGGATCATAAAAATTTTTCTGCCAGGCACATTCACATTATTTTTGTTTCAAGGTTATTCGAAATTATAATCAAGCTTATTCATAACCTTCTCTACGAATATGTTGAATCAAATAGGTACTTTTTCAAGGAAATGTACAAACAATATTGGTTCGTAAGTACTCAAAATTGGGACATATATTGCCATTACTTTCATTGATCTAAAAACTGTGCTCTCTTGACACAGTCAGCCATCATTGCACGGTCAGCATAATTACGGGATCAAAGGGAATGAATATCATTTTCTTAGCCTCGTTCTGTTGGCGCTTAATTAGTTACATGCAGCTCTGACACCTCCGATATAGCTGAGATCGAAATAGGGGTACTCCAAGGACTACATCTCGGGCCGCTTTTTTCTATTATTTACATCAATGGATTTAAAAGGGCAAAAACGACAATATATTCTGATAATGGAGCAATCCTATTCTCACTATCTGACAAAGAAAAAGGTGCTGTTGTCAATGCAGAACTTGCCTGCCTTATGGATGACAAGCTTTTCAGCATTGTCAAGACACATGTCATGACTAGATAGATGATCGTCGCAAAAGCTGAGAAAAATTGACACACCAGTCGCACCTATCCCTCATTTTCAAATAAATGGAAATGATATCAACTTTCCGAAGTAATTATCTTTGCCTTACGATTAATGATAATCTAGAATGGGAAAACTATGTTGAATGTACACAGTAGAAGATCTTTAGAGCAATTTGACTCTATTAATATGCGAGACATTATTTCTAAGGTGATTAAAAAGAATTATCTCAAACTACTTCAGAACCCCATCACGATCACTGTCGCTCAGCTCCGGAATGCTGTCGGGTGACGTCACTTCAGAAACCCGAACAAAAATTACAGAACAAAGCTGCTAGAATTGTCTTGAATCTTTCTCAAAATACATTGTGGCTATTAGCATATATTTGAAATAGTGTATTTTTGTGTCCATTAGTGCATGGTTTCAAATGTTTTCTTCAAGATTAGATATAAGATTTACATAAATAACTTATAGTCTCGTTGTTTTATAAAGCGTGTTCTTATGAAAAAGAGTACGCCATACACACACTCCTGACCGTTGGCTTTTGTATCAAGAAAATAGAATGCTCTTAAAGTTATAGAATTGCTTAAGTCATTTCACGTGCTCCAATTTACGGAAGACTGTGAGCTTAAAAGTCAATTATAACTTTGACATTTGACGGAAAAAGGCAGCTAAACTGACTATATTAGAAGGCAGCGAACCGGTTAAATTTTGACAGGAACCCTTGGTATCGATTTTCTTACAGCCTTTGACACCATAATAAGTCATTTTGAATATCATGAACAAACTCCCAATTTGTAGAAGAGCGCGCAGAGAGCAAGTTTGGTTAACAGATGACCTTCGAAATGGAGGGTACGAAATGATAGCTTTCTTGGTCTATACAAGTGTTCCACAAGGCTTACTGTTTTTTTCCAGAGTCCAGAAAACATTACGGTTGCACGGTCATTGACCGGAGGAAGGTTTGAGAAACAATAGAAATTTGGAGGAAGGTTTTGCTAAAATATAATTTTAAAAAACAATTCAGACAACTTATTTTGCACTTTTTTCTTCGTTGCACTTTTAAAACACACGTTAAATCTGTCGCAGGGTTGATTGGTGGCAGGAATAGACACAAAATTTTAGGTCCACGCCCTTTTACGGCAAGTGAATACATATGAAAACAGCATATTGTTCGTGTTCCATGGTGTTTTATTTTTCAATTTATACTTTATCATTTTTCCATCGAATTTATCAGTCTACAATTAAAAAGAAATATTATTCTTGAGCTGTAATGTGATTGTTATTTTAGCAAAGTTTTA